GCTGCTAGTGTAGAAGGTGTTGGAGACATTACTTGTAACTCAACTGTATTGACAAGAGAAAAAATAATGACTGACGGTATAATGGGTGTGGCCTATCATTATTATTATTAATATATTAGATGATGACGATGGGGACTATGTGTATGATGTTTATATGTCACGTCACTGCAATATGGAGGCAGTGAGCTCATTGTAAGGTTATATTAATAACAAGAGTATGTGTATCTGTGTCCTCTTATCTCTTCAGTGATTGGTCAACACTGTCAGTATATTCTCATTCATCAATATTAATTCATGACATCTTTGAATCTGATGATGACAAGTTTGAAGATGAAGACGACTCAAACGGTAAACAACAAGCAAACAAACAAACAACAATATTTAATATTTAAATGGAGACAATGATTAGTGTCTTTCTGTTGATTAGACGAGTCCAATTGGCGGAATGATTATCCTGATGAAGAAGATAGTGAGAGCAGCAGTGCCTCCTCTAATTCTTCAGTTGATTCTGATAACATTCATCATTCCCAGTACAGGCACAGGGAACCTTATTACGGTATATTAATGCTACATAACATTAATCAGGGCATTAGTTAATGTTATTCTTTAGATGAATTGGAGTTCTTTGGTGATTCATCTGGTTATTACGATAATGATAATTATGAAGGGGGCGGAGCTGATGATTATGACACTGACGACGAGGAATATGTTTAAAAACAAGAGAATTTTAATAATTTTGAACAACAATCATTCACTTAAATTGAATATTAAGAAAATAATACAAAATATTATATGATAATAAGACGTAGTATGAAAGGAGGGTTGCAGTTAATTTTAAAAGACATGTGAATGAGACAATAGAAATTAATCTTTTTAGGGATATAATTTATCATATTCTAGTATAATAATACATGTGATTGGGTGAAATGAATGAGGAGGAATTAGAAATTTTGATTTGTAACTTCAATGAACGCAATCAGACCTGCCCTGGTCTGTACTTACAACAGAAACAGGTGATTCAATGGCATTCGTTAGACCTGGTAGAGGAAATCCTCCTATTTCACCCTCTTCACTAGATACATCAGTACTACCGGATAAGGTGCCGTTACCAAAAGTAACTACATGTATACGCATGGTATCAGCAGGACCTGCCTCCCAGTTATGTACATAATACTCTAAACCAATATTTAACATTATTGAAGGAGCTTGAGGTCTTTCAGGATCAGTGTCGGCGACGTAGCTTGTAATGTCGTTTATACTATTGGTGATGGGTTGGCTAATTTCTTCATCGATTGCATCAGAAGAGCCGTTTTCATTCTCTTCACTATCTGACGCTCTTATCTCATTAGCAGCTGGAGAGTCCACCTCTGGACTACACAACATACTGTTGGCTTTATTGGACGTGTTATGCCTACCTTTATAAAAATCATCAGTGTAGTCCATGACCGTTAACGCAATATCAGTGGCATCAGAATCAGAATGATTCGCTTCATTTTGAACTTCGACTGCCTTTTCTTTTTCTCGAACTTCCTCCGTTTTTAACTTCTTAGACAACTTCTCTTCTAATTCTCCTTCCTGCAGACCTTCTTCGTTTCGATTAAGCCTCTTCTTTTCATTTCTTCTTTCCTCTGTGCTCTCTTCCTTGTCGGACATCTCTTCTGTCCTTCGTCCCTCATCCTCTTCAAGTGAAACCTTGTCACCAGATACATGTACATCGTCTGCTGGTGGGTAGCCGACTACAGGTATTTCTTCATTATCAGTACTATCGCTGTTAGATCTAGTACGCTCTGACTGGTAGTCAAATCTAAGCGATACTTCAGAGGCTGTAGAAGTGATAGGTCCTGTGCTTGAGGTGTCCTTTCTCTTTTCCATTATGCTTGGCCTGTTAAAAAATAAATTAAAAAAATCAATTTCTTATCTAATGTGTTCTATACCATTTCTTGCTAATCTGGTTCGCCATTATTGGTAAAAAGAGAAGAGAAATAAAGAAAAGAATGGAAGCTACTTAGCTACAACTTCCAACAGGTAGGTTTAGCTCTAGGCACGAGACTGGTTTAGCTCATAAAGCTTCTTAAGAGCCAATTTACACATTCGAGGTATGAAACAGTGAATGCGTTTGAGCTCCTCCTGGTCCTTCGATCACGTGGCAGCGGCTCTTCTTCAGCTCCTCTGTCTCCTTTTCTTCAACTTCTTTTTCCTCAACAATCCCGCCTAAGCTCAAGCTGTGCCCATCCTTAAAAAGATGTTGCTGTTGCGCCCTGTGGGTGTGGTCCATGCCAATTTTGAATAGAAGACCACGCCCTACACTAAAGGTTAAGCTATAAGCTAAGGATAAAGCCTATCTTATTTAAAAAATCCTTTTCCTTTTCTTTATATCTTATAAAGAAAAGGATAAGCTTATCTTATCCTTATTGGATAAGGCTAATGGCTGCTGCTACCTACCACTCAAGCAGTTCATCTTATGTGGTGTGGATTTGGGTTAATGGTCAAAATATCTCTATACCTTTCTCTCCAGACATCTCTTACAACATAGAGAGAGAATACCAGCTCAAGAAACCAACCTACACTCTACCAAAAACTGGAGAAATAGTGGACTTAACACAATCCACTTATGTACATGTACATACCAAAAGAAGATATGCCAGTAAGAGAAAGGAATAATATAATGTGTATGTATATCGAGTATTATATATACATGTTACTAAGACATGTATGATTGTATGTTAATGTGTAAGGTGTATTACCATATAAGGGTGGGGTTATACAGTAAAATGCTAATCTAAAATTCACCATTTTGTTTCATTCTTATGCACCTGCCTGCATTTTAAGTACCGCCAATTGCATTTTCTGGAGAAATTGCCAAAGAAAATGGCTGCCAACATGTACACTATTATTAATTTTATTTTATTAGTAAGACGTGAGCTTCTCTACCTCCCTCCTTCCCCTGATATCAATGGCTACTGGGAATGGGACAGTGGTCGTGGCGTCTTCTTATCATATGCTGTTGCTGCTAGTGTGGATATTGAACTAGTTTATACCAGAGGGTTCCCATCAATTGATTTAGCAAAGTGTGCCTCTAACATACCATATTATATCGATTTAAAGAGACAAGTACAGCGTCGTCATGGTTATGGTACTGAGAGAAAAATAAAAAGAATACATTTACCTTATTCACTTCAAAGTTACTTGATAGACCAATCAAAACACTCCGTACTACCGACTGTTGGTTATGCAGCTCCAGCTGCTACTATGATTGCAAGTTCTAAAGCTTCAACAAGAGGTTCTTCTTCATCAATGAAATCAAAAAAGAAGAGCAGTAGTCCCATGATCACTGCTAGCAGCAGCAGCAGCTGTGCACCAACTGTCCATCCCTCCTCTTCAATTGGAAAACCTTTAGGACACAGAGAGACTCCGGCTTATAAATCTGGAGCTGTTAGCAGCTGTCATGTAGAAACAAGAAGCAAATTAAGAAAAATCCAAGCACTAGGTAACAGAGAGTGTGCGTGAGAATGTAGTCAATATTATAAGTGCATTATTTAGATGACACTTTGCTGACTCCTCTGGGGCCGTTAAAGGAATTTGTTAAAAGAGTAACTTCTCTTAATTTTGGAGAAAATGGAGTATGACACTTCTAATGATAACACACTTTAGTAACTCTCTCTCTCTTTCTCTAGCCTTGCCCAATATGTATGAATAATTTGAATGAAGAGTCGGGATTTGATGATGACAGTACACCCTCCCCTTCCTCAACGTCATCTTGTGATGTTTGTAAATTAAGGAAATGTGGACATATGCTGCACAGATCGTGTCTGATCACTTACTCCAAGAACTCAACTGATGCTAAAGTAATGGAGAGAGATTATCCTTATCTATTAATGTACTTCTGTTAGGGTTGTTTAAGATGTCCTACATGTAAGGTCATTCATGGTGTCAAGAGAGGAGACATGCCCTCCACTGGGACCATGACAGTATCAAAGAAGCGATACTCTCTACCTGGACATCCAAGATGCGGTACCATTGAGATTGTCTACAGCTTTCAACCAGGAGTACAAGTAAAGTTATAACTAGTGGCTACTTCTCAATTGCTTCATGTACTTACTGTCTTTCATAGAATGGAGTCAACTACAGAGCAAATGGTTTTCCACGTACTTGTTATCTCCCTGATTCAAGCAAAGGACAAAAAGTATGCAAATTATTTATTTAGTATTTCTATTATTATTTATTTATTATTTCTATTATTAAAATTATTTTATTTATTTTTAAAGGTTTTACAGCTATTAAGAGTAGCATGGGAGAGACGTCTTACATTCACGATAGGTACTTCAGTTACAACTGGTGCTACTAACACTATCGTGTGGAATGAAATACATCATAAAACCGAGTCTACTTCAAACCACAGTGGTCATGGCTACCCAGATGAAAACTATCTTGATAATGTACTCGCTGAATTAGCAGCTCAGGGAGTGACAGAGAGAGAGGAGTGTGGAGGAGGTGGTGATGGTGAATCTAGTGATGATGACCTTTAGTAACCACATTATTGTTTTATGTCAATAATTTACTTTATATAATAATTAATAATCATTAATTCTCAACCTCACTGATTCTGTCAAGCATTATTCGTCCAAACTGTCCTTCTCTGAAGTTCTTGATAAAGTGAGTTGCTGATCTTCCTTCATCAACAAAACCTCCTTTCAATAAAGCTCCTATTCTTTGTCCAACATTGTGCAGCAGTTCATCAGTGTCATGGCAAGGTCCTTCAAGGTTATATTTCTTGACGTATTGATACAATTTTTGTTCATTTAACATCTTCAGTATGTATGCCGCTATATTAACTTCACCAACAAATCGATGATCTAGTGTTCCTATGGAAAATAGATAACAAATAAAACTAGACCAGGATTTCCCACAGGATTTTGGCATAGTTCCCAGCTTCTTATCAGTTTTGAAGTTGCTCCAAATCAGGCCAAGGTCCCTGTACTATATAGTACATGGTCTCGGGCCAAAATTGAAAAGGAGAGAATTTGCCATTTTTACACAACTTAATATTAACAAATAATGCTAGTGGGGGTGCCTACCTACAGCTGCTAGTTTAAGAGCCATTTCCTCATCTTTAATATTCGGTATCATTATACCAGGAGTATCCAACAGTTTTATGAGTGGGTCGGTACTGATCTTTATAAAAGTACTGACAGTCTTAGTATATCCCGGCCTGGAACTAATGGGAGCTGCTTTGGGGCTACCAATACCAGGGGAGAGTCTCCTTAGTGCGTTTATCAATGAAGACTTACCAACATTGGGCATACCAACAATCATTACTTTAACGCCATTCTTTATATCGTCATCTTTAGTTAGCTTTATAATGGCTTTTTGAAGAGCAGTGATGTTACCAGAGATTTGGTTCCGTCCCCTGCAGTTTGTCAGGATCACGGGAACACTATCGTCATTTTCATTATAAAGTTTCATACCTTTTGGATCGGTCAAATCATACTTGTTCAATACTAGTATTTTCTTGTGCTTGGAAAATTTAAGTTTTTCGTTTCGACCTGTTAGTGGGATCCTTGCATCGTGTACTTCTATGACGAGGTGACATTTTTGTACTTTCCTCAGAGCATCTTTCATTCCTCTCGCCATATGACCAGGGAACCAGTTGTAGCCAGACAGCATTGCTAAGACAGGCATGATCTATTACAATGGCTGAGTTTAGAGACTTTAAATAAAGACTTTTATGCAAAGTCTCTTGTGTTCTTCTCATTCAACTGCTCCTTTATCTGTCTCTATCTTGCTCCTGTTAGACTTTCTCTTATCCAAAAACTTCCTAAGGAGATGGTTCAACTCCTTGTCACAGCATTAAGATCCGCCATTGTAAGGCGGGTATTTGTACTGCGCATGCGCCATTTCAAACAGACATGGCAGAATTTTTAATGAGCTAGGTTTAGGTTAGTATGAAAAATAATTGATCAATATACTGCAAATCTGCAATCTTATTGGTCAATTGCAAGGTGGTCACCTTGCATTGACCAATGAGATTGCAGTATTGGAGGTCAATTATTTTTCACACCTACATAAACCTAGCTTATTAAAATTCTAGCATGCCTACGGTTTGAAATTGACCAATTAGATTGCATCATAGGAGGTAAATATAATTGTTTATTTACCTCTTAGTTATTTACCTTGCGGACAGTGCGGGAGCAAACAGGTTTTTATTATTTACATTAAACTTTTCCGTATACTTCAACCACATGTTACTGTTTTAATTGCAATGAAATCACACATAAAGATTAATAGAGGTAATAAAATTAAAGTTTAGTGATCAAAAAAGTAATAATAACCAAATTAACTAATAATTGTTGAATTATCAAGTCTCCGAACTTTTCTTTGGTGAATTTTCCGGACTAGTTCCTGTATTACTGAGCCTTGAGCGTCTCCTAGCTCTTCGCTGCCGAGAAGATTGAAAACTTTTGTCATTAGTCTTTCCAGAGGTTTGCTCTTCCTCCCACTTGACACCTTTTCTTGACGGTGAGTCCTCAATAGAACTCTTTGGAGATGCTACTGTAGTGTTTCTAGTTTTTGGAGTTGTTTTCTCATCATCAGAACTTTCTGTTAGGTAGGTTTTTCGTTTTGGTTTTTCAAGTTTGTCAGTTTCTTTATCTTCGTCACTGCTAAGGCCCCAATCCCTCTTCTTTCTGATATTATTATCATCACTGAGATCAGAGTCACTGCTTATTTTTAAATGATCTCTTGATGATGATTTTATTGGTTTGATTTCATCTTCATCGCTGCTAATCAAGGCTGCCCTCCAATCAACTTTCTTTCTAACAGGCTCATCAGAATCAAGCCCTTTCCTTTTACTATAGTACTCCTCATCACTTTCCTTGTCGTAAGAATCATCAGCTGCCTTTCTTTTGCTTTTTAATTTTGATAAAAACTCATCTATATCTTCATCATCATCATCATCGTCATCTTTACCAGCAGTAGCAGCTGCAACACTTGTAAACTCCCTTTGTTTCTTTCTTGAATTAATACGTTTCATATATTCATCATCATCACTGCTTTCATCAGAGACATGTACAGCTATGTCTCTTTCAGACAACACTGAGCTGTCTCCACCACTGTCAGCTCTTTTCTTTCTTGTTCTCTTTGGTGAGCTGGACTCCAGCTCATCCACACTGCTGTATTCTTCTCCTTGTCCTGGTTCATCAAGTGCTTCTTGTAATACTTCAATTCTTTTATGAGCCGACTTCAGATCGGATTGACTTGAAGCCAGTTGCGACTGCAATTCATTTATCTCAGTTTCCTATTAATAGAGATGATTATGGTAAAATTCAACATACCGTACAGCTGGTTAATTTTGCGGAGAAAAATTTTGCGAATCCTTAAAAATAACCTGGTTTGCGGATTAAATATTTGCGGTTTTGACAGTTATTGTAGCATTATCTACTGTGGTCATGCATGAATTTCATTATTTTGCGGATTTAAATTTTGCGCTTTAAATAAAATCGCAAACTCGCAAAATTTAATTCCCTGCAAATATTTCCAGCTATACGGTATTTTTTTCAAAAAAATGGCTCCAAAATCATCCCAAATTTTTATTTTCTGATACAATTACAGGTACATTACCATGAGTCTTCTCTTTTTATTTTGTTCTTGCTCCTTCCGTTCACTCTCTTGCTGTTCTTCTCTGGCTTCCCTCAGCTGCTTCTGAAGTCTCTTGATGGCATCAGTACTTTTAGTAGAACTGTCTTCAGCTTTATCAGAATGAACTCTCTCAAGCTGTGCCCTCAAACGAGAAATGGTCGTCTAAAATAAAACAATAAAAAATCAATAAAAATGTCTATTATCATGTACTTCTTGTCTCTTCATTGTTGATCTCTCAAGCTCCAGTTTCTGTTCCAGTTCTCTCACTCGCACTTCAGAGGCTTCAACCTCCTGCTTGTTACTATCAGATTCCAATTCATTTATTTTTTGCTGCAATTTGTTTACCTAAACAACAACAAACAACAACAAACAACAAGAATAAGAGATCTATTTAAAGAGATGTAGCAATTACTTTTGCTTCCATCATCCCCTTGTTGGTTTCATAGTCTTCTATCTGAAACTTGAGTTCAGTGATCTGCTGCTGTAGGTGGCCATTTTGTGTTATATTCTGTCTAAGTTTTTTCGTCAGTTCTTCCATTTCTTCGGCATCCTCTTCAAGCCTTGACTCCAAGTCATCCTTCTCCCTCTGCAACTCACTCAAATGTCCCTCAAGCTAAAAATAGTAACAATAATGACCCTTAGTTCTATATTTAGTAACAGTGTGATACCTCTAGTTTAGACCGAGTCACTTCATCATATTGAGCTGTTAGTTCCTCCATTTCCGCTTGGAGTCTCTTCTGAGCTTTAGCAGCCGAGCTTTCTCTCAGTTCCATTTCTTCTATTTGTGTTTTTAGTCCTCTGATGGCTCCGGCATGATTTCTCGTCTCTCTCTCGTGTTCCAGTTCTTCCTGAGCGTCCTGTAGGAGAGCCTTTAGTTTCTTAACTTGTTTCTTCAGCTTCTTCTCCACTTCAGGATCAATGGTCATCTTTGATTGCATCTCTCCAATCTGTCGCTCAAGATCACGTTTAGCCTGTTCACGATAATTAATAATAATTAACAATACATCATTATTTAAAAGCATCAACAAGATTAAGTAGAATTGCTGCATATTCTTACCTTGAGTACTTGTTGCTTCGACTCATGTTCTTCCTCCAGCTGCTGTTCTATTGTCTTTATCTTCTTGTTCATGGTGGCCTTCAGCTGCTCCATATCTTCCTCCCTCCCCTCAATCTCCTTTTGATGTTGAGTTTTGAGGGAATTCTGTGACAGCTCCAAACGAGACTTAGCCTAACAGCAAAGATAATACCAATAACGACACAACAAATATTAATTTACTTGTTGTAATGAATCAACTTTTATATTCAAATCATCCACTTCGTCCTCCAACTCTTCAACTTTTGATTCCAATTCTCTTTTCATTTTTTTCAAGGAAACAATCTAAAATGAAACATGCAATGGCAGTTATTAATTGACCACACCCACCAATGAATATTAATTACCTCATTATCAGTACTAATGCTTCCTTTCTTCAACAGCTCCGTTTCTATTTCAGTCTTTTCACTTTCAAGTTTCTGATGGTCTTCTTTTAATTTCTATAAAATAATAATAATAATAATAATAATAATAATAATAATAATAATAATAATAATAATAATAAAGATTAATTAATCAATAACTTTACTTTGTATTTTTCTTCTAATAAAGTGAAATCGGCTGATAATAAATTCTTTTCTCTCTCCAATCTCTCCCTGGCTTGTTTCTCATCGCTAGCTCCATCTCTTACTGAATTAATATCAGAATCAAATCTAAAACAAACAAACAAACATTATTATCATTGTTGTTGTTTTTGTTTGTGTCAATTACTTTCTCTGTCTTTTTTCCAATTCTTCGTTCCTGTTCTGCTGTGCCTCAAGCATCAGTTTCAAGTCGTTCAGTTCAGAACTAAATTTGGATCCTTTCTTACGAGCCTGGGACAGGTTCCGCCTCAGGTCCTCAACTTCAGCATCAGAATCAGCAAGCTACAATTAATAATAATAATAACAATAATAATAATAATAACAACAATAATAATAATAATAATAATAATCTCACCTTTTTCTCAAGTACTTTCTTTGCGTGTTGCAGTCGCTCCACCTGGTCTTCATACTCTGTACTTATTCTCTGCCGGAGGGTTTCAAGTTCTCTCTTAGTCTCCCAGTACTTCTCTAGAACAGCTTTTAAACAAACAAACAAACAAACAAATAAATAAATAAATAAATATTGAAAGGATGGGATATGCTATACCTTCAGAGTTATTTTCAGTTTCGTTTTCATCGCCTCCGCCATTTTCACTCTGTTTGATTCTTGCTAATATTGTCAACTCAGCAATTTGTAACTGAAGCTCCTCGTTCCTTTTAATGAGTTCGTCCTCCGTCGACTAATTAATAATAATCATTGTTATTAATATTAATATTATTATTAGTATTACTGTGACGTCCTGATTTTGCTCCTGTAAAGCTCGTCTGTCGATCTGTTCCTGCTCCAATAACTCAGTCACATGCTGAGCCGTCTCCTAATACAAACACAAATACACATCATAATGACACCATGCAGCCTTCAATCCTCTAGCCCCTCCCTCTTTTATTCTGGCCCCTCCCCTTTCTCACCTGTGCCTCAAGCAGCTGCTGTGTTAATACGTTCACTTTTTCCGCTAGTCTTCCTTCTGAGTCTTTGAGGACGTTTCTCTCTTCCTCAATCTTTTCTATTTTCTCTTTAAGAGTTTTAATTTCAGACTATGCATAATAATAACAATAATAATAATATTTATTATTATTATTATAATCATCATTTTTACTTCTTTCTTTTTCACAACTTCTTCAGCTTTCCAAACGGCAAGTAATGGCTTTACCTGCAAACAAAATGCAAACAAATAAACAAATAAATAAACAAATAAATAAACAAATAAACAAATAAACAAACAAACAAACGAGCTCACTTTTTGCAGCAGTTTCCACCAGGACCATTCGTTTATGATCTCGTGTTGGATGATGTTCCTTTGAATGACGTGAGCAGCTGCATGTTGTAGTTCAAGCTTCTCCCTCCTCTTCCTCCCCAGCCACCCGCGACAGTAAGACTGGAACAAAACCATCAGATCATGAGTCTTCTCTTCGACCTGTTTATCCAAAGAACTTAAAACCCCGGCTTTAAAGAATATCTAAAATAATAAAAATAATAATTAATGATGATGATGACGATGATTTGCTAACCTGGCTGAGACCTATTTTATAACTATTCTTATCCAGTTCAAGACCCAGCAGGATATATTCAACTGCATCTTTATCGTTTAATGGAAGATTCGACTTCTCGTCAGGACTAAGGAGCGAAGAGAACTTACGGCAGAAAGAAGGGAACAACTGATGCTCAGGGAAACCTGTGTATTTAATAATATAAAAACAAACAAAAACAACAACAATCATACCTTGTTTGTACATCCTAGCAGCTGGAATTATATCAGCTTGTCTTAATTGAGTCCGAACTAGAGGTACATCAATATGTCCCTGGATGGGTGGAGCCTCTTCGTTATTGATTGATGGGTGGAGTATTGCACCAGGTAAGTGGTAAGATGGCTGACACAGTATACAGATAATGTACCACTGGTTGGTCTTCCTTAAAGTGTCAATGACAAAATCCTAAAATTAATAATACAATAAGGACATCAATATGAATCGGAAAGTTTAATAAAAATTTGGGGTGATTTCGGAGCCATTTTTCAGATTTTTGCCATTTTTTAAAAATGGCCGTAACTTGAAAAATTGAAGTTGGAATCACCTCAAACTTTCTACACAGCATAAGGGCATCAATATGTATTGAAAAATGTAATAAAAATTTGGGGTAATTTCGGAGCCATTTTTTGGAAAAAACCATGGGCTATAGTCTTGGGTATTTTTCAGATTTTTGACGTTTTCTTAAAATGGCCATAACTTGAAAAATTGAAGTCGGAATCACCTCAAACTTTCTACACAGCATAAGGACATCAATATGTATCAAAAAATGTAATAAAAATTTGGGGTGATTTTGGAGCCATTTTTTGGAAAAAACCATGGGCTATAGTCTTGGGTATTTTTCAGATTTTTGACATTTTCTTAAAATGGCCGTAACTTGAAAAATTGAAGTCGGAATCACCTCAAACTTTCTACACAGCATAAGGACATCAATATGTATCAAAAAATGTAATAAAAATTTAGGGTGATTTCAGAGCTATTTTTTGGAAAAAACCATGGGCTATAGTCTTGAGTATTTTTCAAATTTTTGCCATTTTTAAAAAATGGCTGTAACTTGAAAAATTGAAGTCGGAATCATCTCAAACTTTCTACACAGCATAAGGACATCAATATGTATCAGAAAATGCAATAAAAATTTGGGGTGATTTCGGAGCCATTTTTTGGAAAAAACCATGGACTATAGCCTTGGGTATTTTTCAGATTTTTTCCGTTTTCTTAAAATGGCTATAACTTGAAAAATTGAAGTCGGAATCAGCTCAAACTTTCTACACAGCATAAGGACAACCTGTACTACAGTACAGGGTATTTGACCATTAGTACATAATAATTATATTTAACTCACAAGTTGAAATTTAGTTTTCAAGCAAAGAGATGACTTCTTAATACCAGCTGTTGGGTTGCTAAAGCTGGGGTGCCTTGACAAACGAGACGACTGCTGAGGATCCTTATAAGAGGAGGCATGGCCAGTACTAGCCACACCCCTCCCGTGATATAATGAGGCTATTCCAGAGTTCTTAGACTCACTCAAAAGTGACGTAACAACACGAGTGGAGGGGTGTTCCCTAACTTTTAGTCTCCACCCATTAACGTCATACGTGATCGGCTGCGTCCTCTGGCAATGGACTATAGTGAACTGACCTTTGTCAAGATTGACTTTTACTGGTATAACACCTATAAATAATAATAATAATAATAATAATAATAATATCAATTAATATTAATTAATTACCATATTCATCCTCTTCTCCATATATGGTATTAACTTTCTCGAGGAACGTCAGGTCGGAGGAGCTAGGATACATTGACTCTTCCTCCAGTAACCATAGCAACCCCTTCTTGTCGTTCAACTCAAGACCTTGAAATGCCCCACGACGCTAAATAAAATAAAATAAAATAAAATAAAATAATAATATATTAATTAATTAATATACCTGAGGGACGTGTTTATCGATGATGTCTATTACTGATAATGGGGAGAGGACAAATTCTGTAAAGAGCCAGTCGATGTCCTCTTGAAGGTAGCGCTCTTGTTCGGAAGTAAAAACAAAATCATGAAATAACATCTGTAGCCTCTCCTAATAATAATAATAATAATAATAATAATAATAATAATAATAATAATAATAATAATAATAATAATGAAAGCAATTAATAATAATAATAATAATAATAAAATGAAAACAATATTAATAATAATAATAATGATAATAATAATAAATAATAATAATAATAATAATACTAATGTTAACATACCCTTGTGTAGTTCATGCAGAGTTCATCAAAGGAGGATCCTTCACTGGCTCCAGCTGTTTCTCTGTTTTGAAAACCAGGAGTGTCCAGTATGTGTATGAGGTTCTTTCCTTTGGATTTATTAGACGCTTGCAACGATCTATAATAATAATAATAGTTAATTAATAATGGTTAATTGATAATGGTTAATTGATAATGCTTAATTAATCACCTGTTAATTAAATACAATAGTGAATTAACTGCCTGGTCATAGAGTCCCATCACAAACGCATCAAGAGAGTATGAGCGATTGGCTCTAGCAGTCCCCGGGGATATATTGAAGGACCCGATTGACAGGTTTATAGAACTGGTTTCAGATATGCTGGGAGAGGTTGAGAGTGATGATGTCAATGCTGAAGACATTCTAGAGCTTGTTCCCCTTGGAGGGTTGAAGATATCTTTAGCTAATTCTTCATGAGGTACACCCAGCAGAACAGCTGCTCTGGCAGCTGCTCCAGGATTAATGAACCGCTCAGTAGCTCTACCAGTACCTTCAGAAAAGACATATACATATATTAGTGTGTATTAGTGTGTATTAATGTGTATCAGTGTGTATTAATGTGTATTAGTGTGTATTAATGTGTATCAGTGTGTATTAATGTGTATTAGTGTGTATTAATGTGTATCAGTGTGTATTAATGTGTATCAGTGTGTATTAATGTGTATCAGTGTGTATTAATGTGTATTAGTGTGTATTATTATAGTTTTCATTTAGTGGTTAGTGATCAAAATCCCCCTGCAATATACAAAGTTAATGCAGCTGCACACAAGTTAAAAATCAAATCAAAGCCTTTAATATAAAATTAATGGACCACATGAACATGTGCAGTGATATACATGTACATATGCTCTTCATTCTGTACCTTGTTTGACTCCAGCATACCCCAGGTGGTAAATGGCTGCCAGTATTGACCAGAGGCCATAAGCCTCTTCATCGTTGATGTCAAGAATATTCAAACAGTTCAAGATCAGGTCCCACACAATGGCCGCACTCTCAATCTGTTGGGCCTAAGAGAAAGAGGAAGGGAGATTAAAAGGTACAGCAATTGGTCTTCCTTACATCTGAATACGGTTCAATGTACTGGTTTGGTTCCTCAGTCCCTGGGTCAGCATCAAGCAGGAGCTCCCGTCTAGTTATTAATAGTTATTAGCAGTTATTAATAGTAATAAATTACTTTAAATTTTCATCGTTGGTGATTCCAGCGAGAAGCTGATAGAAAATGTTGAAATTTAATTCTCCATCTGGTCTTAAGGATACCCTGCTCTTCTCCAACAGAAAAATCTAAAAAAACAACAACAACAATAATAATAATAACAATAATAATAATAATGATAATAATCATACCCTGGCGGAAGCAGCTGTTAATGATCCAATGGAATCAAATTCGAGTGAATAGAGGACAGAGCAGCGAGTTGCCTGAGGGTTAAGATAAGTACTAGCACTAGTGAAGGCATGCAGTAACAGCTGGACGGCATCTAATTTAGCACCTGCAAGAGAGAGAGAGAGAGGGAAAGATCACACACACTTGCCTAAACAAACAGTAGCTGTTATTCTTACTACTAATGTGTGATCCATCATTGAACCCAACCGTTGCTAAATATCTCAATAAATATCTGGCGTTGAATGTCTTCCCAGAGCCGGAGACACCAGTCAAAAGAATGGACTGATCCTGTTGGTTGTGGACCATGTGGTAATACGCTTGCTGTCCTGAAGCAAAGACGTGAGGAGGCATATCTTCCTTACGACAACCTCTGAACATTTCTATCACCTAATAATAATAATAATAATAATAATAATAATAATAATAACTAATATAACAATAATAATGATGATGATAATAATAATAATAAAATGGCGCACCCTATCGCTATACAGTGAGAGGTGTCTCAAAGGGTTAATAATTATCAAATGGCGTCCAGAGAAGGTATGTATCAGGGATGAACCATATCTCTGTCTTAAAACGTGTAGAACACTTGATTCATTGAGATGAACCAAATCAATGATATCTTCAACACGATCAAGATCAGGCGGATTAACGCGCTCAATATCAGTCTCTTCTACTTGAAGATATTCACCTGTGTTGACCACACGAACGTGGAGACCCTAAAAAAAGTAAACATCATTTGTTGTTGTTGTTGTTGTTGTTGTTTACTTGTGATCTGACGTAGTTAACATGAGCTGATAAGCTGTTCTCTTTGCTATCAGAAAGTTGCACTAGTGAGAAGCCATTTTTATGTATAAGCCAGTGACTGTTGTGAGATAACATACTCCTCTCCGACTGTAACTGACCTTCAGTTTTAGCCTATTAATAATAATAATAATAATAATAATAATAATAATAATAATAATAAACGATAATAATAATAATAATAATAAACGATAATAACGATGATAATAATAATAATAACAATAATATTAACAATAATAACAATAAAAGTATCTATATTAAATTACAGTATACCTACCCACACATACATTGAAATTAGATAGTGCTGATTTAATGATACATGTGTACAGTGTAGCCTCTTTATTGAGGAGCCCACACTACCCCTCCTTAATACATGTACAGTGTAGCCTCTTCATTGAGGAGCCCACACTACCCCTCCTTAATACATGTACAGTGTAGCCTCTTCATTGAGGAGCCCACACTACCCCTCCTTAATACATGTACAGTGTAGCCTCTTTATTGAGGACACCATTGGGCCCACACTACCTGTCCTTAATACATGTACAGTGTAGCCTCTTTATTAAGGACACCATTGGGCCCACACTACCTGTCCTTAATACATGTACAGTGTAGCCTCTTTATTAAGGAGCCCACACTACCTGTCCTTAATACATGTACAGTGTAGCCTCTTTATTGAGGAGCCCACACTACCCCTCCTTAATACAGAGGTGTCCTCATTTCAGAGGTACTTTTGTCTAGGCTTGTACCAATTGGGACATTACAAAATGTCCTCATTTTAAAGGTGTCCTTATTGTAGACGCTACACTCCATTTATTAATAATTACAGTTACCTGAAAGACACTAATGGATTGCCTCCTTTGAGCTGCTTTCTTCCTCAAAGTCCCCGCTCCTAGTTTAATGCTCTTCTTCATCAAGTCAGCATTATACGTACGGGAATCATCAAACACGCCTCTCTCGTTCAACTCAATTAATTCCGGGACTGATGCCACTTTGAAATTAACTTGATCCCCAGACAGCTTTATGAGATCCACCACGCGCTCATGTGGCGAATTAACTACCACCTCCCCATTGACCTCTAGTATCCTGTCACCTGACATCAGCGGACCTATGTAGGATGGGCGTGGCTCCACCAAATGCACTAATATGGTATTATCGGGATTATCTGGATCAGGCTGAAAGGATTTACGAAGGTTGAACCCAAACCCACCAAGTGCAGGGTTCTTTACGGCCAGAACGTCACGTTGTTTAACAGAGCTTGTTCGTAATGGCGGCAGCTCCAGGACAACCCCTTTAAACTCCTTGGCCTGTGACAGAGAGAGGTCAGACATGTCCAGTAGCATCGATAAGTTGTTATCTCTGTACGACTTTGTGGGAGAGACCTGAGAAGAGGAACTATGTCTCTTGTAAGATTCATGAAGAGGAGTCGACGACGAAGACACTGACCTATTGATTGGTCGAGAAAGAGACGAACGGCTTGGAGAGAGAGACTTCTCTGGCGTAGAACCTTTCGAGAGGCTCTCGTATAATTCTTTCTTAGCTTTGACTGAAGTGGAGGAGTCTCTAGTGTGAAGACTGACGCTGCTTGAGGTCTGAGAGGGAAAGGAAGGAGAGGTACTTCCCGTCCGGGCAGTCTGCTGTATGGTTAGCTGCTGCTCGCTGGATGAAGGGGAAGGTATAATGTCATCTCTCGCTCCTTCTAAAGAGCTGGAGGAGAGTGCCCGCTGATGATGTGAGAGGAGGTGGACGTCATAGTCAGCTCCTTTGCTAGAGCCGGGCTTTGGTTTACGGTCTTTCTCTTTCTTCTTCCTAAACCAGCCGGACATTGTGGAGTAGTACTTGGCACTGGTAAATGCGGCAGATCAGTCAGTTCTTTTCACTACAATGCCTCAAAAGAAGGAGAGAACATTAACAATATTCATTGTCTTTACTAAAAGAAAAAAGAATGTACCGCCATAGTTCCTGTGTGGGCGGAGAAAGCCACGCCCATCAAATGCTTATCACGTGATGCACTACAAAACTGCTAAATGTTAGCACTATGTGCTCTCAAATGCCTGTCCATATTTGGTATGTTGTAAAACAGAAAAACTGTTTACCAATTTAACAGCAGCTGCAATACTTGCACATTGCATCACTATCACTTAGCTCACAATTAATGTCATAATATAAAATTAATTGTTTTGATTGTTTTTAATTCAAAAAATAATGATCAGTTTGATTATATTTTTTTGCTAAGCACACGCGAATGACATTCTTCCAATCTTCTGGCAGTAGGGCCATCCAACAGATCCATACAATACTGTAAACAAACAAACAAACAAACAATAATAACAATACAAACAAGACTAAAAACAACAACCTTCATTCTGTTATTCTCTGTCTTCAATAACAATACATCAATAAGAGCTCTTTCCGAGCCCGTCTTTACAGCTGTGTTCTTATCCTTAGTACAAACCAGGAGAGGTCCTATCATGGTCTTAAGGAACTCATCAGAAGGATTCATAACGTTCCCACAACAAGTACAAGCAAACTGACGAACGTCCGAAGATACATTAGTCAGACACTAGAGGGAGAGAGGGAGAGGGAGAGAGGGAGAGGTGGAGGGTTAATGAACACGAACGGTTTTATTTACATCAGTCAGTGCCACAAGAAATGTAGGCGGAGTCTCCTTAAACTGGTTAATAAAACTAGTAATGCAATCCAAACCGGTTATGCAAACAGGCACCTGAGGAATAAAGAAACAAATCAATAAAATATTAAAGTATTCTTACTCTGTCTGAGTTTGCTAGTTGTAGTATAGCTGATTCCATATCATCTTTAAGATCACAATCAATGATCCGATCAGTATCAGTGTCAATGGCTGATTTCAAGGTGATACCTTTCGATTGTAGTACGCCCCAATCACCGATTCCAGTCAAATTAATAACATCATTCTAAATTATTATAATAAAAATGTCCTCTGGATCTCTCCGTTACCTTCATAATATCTACCAGCTGTGCATCAGATAAATACATTAAAATTATCCCAAGGCAATTAGCAGATTTGAATCTGTTCCCCTCATGGACTGTATTCTGCAGCTGGATCAAAGTGTCCTTAATATCTAACTTGTGTTTGTCGCTCATTCTTTTACCAGCTGACTTTAACACACCACAGAGGGCCTATATAGTATATTAATTAATGGGTGTGGTCTTATAACATTAATTAGGTACTTCTAATAATGTATTTCTTAGCGAGGTGTCTTCAGTTTTCTTAATTGAGCTATGAATCTCATTAAAAACGGAATCAACACGAGGTGAGAGTTCAACTAATTCAATGATTCCAGTAACAGCTTGAGATCTCACGGGTTGATTCGGATCAACCAGTGATTTCAAATAGGATGTTTGGAGCTGAGGAATAAATGCTTTGGCAGCTACACCCACCTACTTAATATTCATGAATCAATGACTCATTAAATATTCATTAACCTTCCTAACTAGCTCCACTAAAGTTTCCAACACTGAGACTTTAACATTCCCGCCATATCTATCACCAAGGACTCGTATTAACGGACCTGCTATTGCCATGACAACTCGTCCAGAAGTGAGCGTTGCCGTTGACGACATGCGAATAACAAGAATAAGGCAATGGGCACTTTCCTCCTTGTTGTCATGGTTACCCGAGACCAAGCCTTCTTTTAGAATGGTGAGTATTGGCCCAATCCCCTGAGACAAGTGATTAATATAATCAATTAATTAATTATTACTTTTAATTTAAATCCGTTTAATTCATCAACTTCGTTATCTTTAATTATTGACTGACATGTTTTTAACCCTTTCTGAACATTAGAGATGTAACTAGGCAACTGCTTGACTGGAATGACCTAAAAATTAATAATAAAATTGTATTAACAGTGCCAGAGAGACTGAAAAAATCTATAAAAGTAAGAAACATTAGTGTAAATACATGTATATGCAACAGAAAATGTAATAAAAATGGAGAATTCTCTCCTAATCATTTTTGACAAAATTTGGCCCGAGACCATGTACTATAGTACAGGGATTTTTACACAGTTTTGGAGCAACTTTAAAAATTCGTAAAAAATCCAATTTTAATTGGAATTAGTTCAAACTTTCTAAACAACATAAGTACATGTATATGCATCAGAAAATGCAATAAAAATGGAGAATTCTCTCCTAATCATTTTTGACAAAATTTGGTCCGAGACCATGTACTATAGTACAGGGACTTTTGTCCGATTTTGGAGCAAATTAAAAAATTCGTAAAAAATCCAATTTTAATCGGAATCAGTTCAAACTTGCTACACAACATAAGTACATGTATATGCATCAGAAAATGCAATAAAAATGGAGAATTCTCTCCTAATCATTTTTGACAAAATTTGGTCCGAGACCATGTACTATAGTACAGGGACTTTTGTCCGATTTTGGAGCAAATTAAAAAATTCGTAAAAAATCCAATTTTAATCGGAATCAGTTCAAACTTGCTACACAACATAAGTACATGTATATGCATCAGAAAATGCAATAAAAATGGAGAATTCTCTCCTAATCATTTTTGACAAAATTTGGCCCGAAACCATGTACTATAGTACAGGGACTTTTGTCCGATTTTGGAGCAAATTTAAAAATTCGTAAAAAATCCAATTTTAATCGGAATCAGTTCAAACTTGCTACACAACATAAGTACATGTATATGTATCAGAAAATGCAATAAAAATGGAGAATTCTCTCCTAATCATTTTTGACAAAATTTGGCCCGAAACCATGTACTATAGTACAGGGACTTTTGTCCGATTTTGGAACAAATTAAAAAATTCGTAAAAAATCCAATTTTGATTGGAATCAGTTCAAAATTGCTACACAACATAAGTACATGTATATGTATCAGTTGGTAAATTATTTGCTCCACACAACAAATGAGCATTACCTTTGTCACAATGGCCTCTAGAGTAAGCCACGCCCACTCACAAACAGCATCATTATTATCTGCTAATGCTTCAATTGAATATATTAATAATTGAGGGGTGTGGTCTTTAAGATCTGCCTTTGTCTCAGAACAAAATGACCTAAGTAACATTAGTGACGCTACTCTCTTCCCATGACTGGACTTCCTCCCTATTAATAACTCATCAATTAATAAAGACACTCCAGGCTCCTCTGTAATACTGAGCACCACATCAACAGCATAAGGTAAATTATCATCAACCTAAGATAAATAAATAAATAAATGAATGACAGATAGTTTAATACTAACAAAGTCCACTTTTAATTGTGTTTACCAATTTTAGTGAGTGATCTTAATTAAGTTTATTTAAGTTAAAGTTCACTATTCTGTTATTGAACACAATTAAAAGTAAACCTCAGACATGCTTTAAAAACCCACCTGGTCTTTCTTCTGTAGTGCTGTTACAATAGCTTGTATCACTTTATTAAGATACTTATAAATGGAGTGTCCAGCAACAGATGAGAGAAGAGAGAGAGCTTTCATGTTAACAGGTTGGTGGGTCAGTTTTGGTATTATCATTGGTAGAACAACGTTGCTCTTTACAGCCATTACCTGCTGGAGGGCGTCCAAAATAATCTCTCTTTTACCTTCCTCTGCTTTACCCAGCTGGTCCAGTAAAGGGCCCAGTATTGGCTCCAGGATACTGTTACCTAGCAACAGAAGTGACGTTAAGAAAGTTCCTTGGGATTATCTAATATGTCCCGAAATGAACTACAGTTAGACCTGTCTATTCCGGACACCTTGGTACCCAAAAATACTGTCCTGATTATGAACCTGTCCTTATTTCAGAGGTTCATTAATACACATTACTATTGTATTGGGACTGATACTACCTGTCCTGACTATAGAGGGGTCCATAACAGCAGGTTATACTGTATAACACTAGTATACAATGAATACTTACCTACTGCTGAGTGTAAACTTTCAAAAGTCTTAGCAGCTGCACCTCTGACATCACTCTCCTTGTCACAGAGGGCAGACCGTACCATTGGAATGAGAGAAGATGAGTACATGTTCATGTACTCTCTGCTCGTCTCTAGGATAATCTGTGACAATCCAAAGCAGACACCTTCTCTCTCTTGAGCTATGTTTGACTTCAGTCCTCTCTCCAACATTGGGAACAGCTCGGGTAAGATCCTCTCTCCAAGCTTACGTACTAAATCACCTAAAGTCTGACCAGCAACCTGCCTCTTGTCGTAGACAGGGCTTGCAAGGCAGGACAATAATATGTTGATTAAAGTTGGTAGTATCTCGCGGAGTGTCTTAGCAGTGTTGGTGACTATGAGCTTCCACACATGAAGAGAATGCTGTCTCACTAGTAGTGCCACGTCAGACCTAAATAAATAAATAAACAAACAAACAAACAAACAAATAAATAAATAAACAAATAAATAAATAAATAAATACAGACCCACCTGCCCATGTATAATCCTGCCAGTACTTTATTTCTCTTATCTTCTCCGAGGGCTGACACTATTGACTGAGTTGCTTCTTCACTAGCAAAATTATCATCTTCAGAACTCTCAGTAGACATTTTCCCACTTTGACCAGAAATACAGAAGAGAAGGTCACCAAGCAGCTGAACGCTGGAACAACGGATACGCCAGTTGTCATCCAGTAGACCTAACATGGACCATAATGCAGTCAGTAACAATAGACCATACACTGTACCTTTCTCTAACTGAGGGAGGAAGAGATCCACTGACTGTTCAGCATAATTATTAATAATAGTTTGACCAGACAGCAACGAGGTATCTCTGACATATTCAGACTCATCGGCAAGCCCCTATTAATTAATTATTAATGAATTAGTTATTAATTAATGTTATCCTCTACCTTTAGAATTGGTGGTAATATTTTATCAATAAAAGGTAAGAAGTCTTTCCCGAATAATTGCGGCAAGTAAATGAAGAGCATTAAGAACCCATCCCTTGAGTTCGTAGACGAGTGAGGGTCTTGAGCCGACTGAATGAACCTTGGCATGAACTGATGCAATTGCTCCACCCCCTAATGGGCGTGGTCAAGCATAATAATTAACATATAATTAATTACTTGTGATTTAAGGAGATGAGCAATTCCCTGAGCAGCTCCAGATCTGTCTACTGGAGTATCATCACTTTGCAGTGTTTTGAATAGCCATGCCCACAGGTCTTTCAAGGCATCAGAACCAACACCACTAGCCATGGACCCTAGAGCTTCAGCTGATGTACTACGAACCTCAGGCAACTATAATAATAATGAATTAAAATTTTTGATTAATATGTTAACATTACACTACAAACAGGACTTACTGGATCAGTCAGACTTTGTTTGATACCAGGGACTAACTCCTTAACGTAAGGAGAGAGGTCCTTTGAATCCGTTACCCCGTACAGCAGTGCTATTAGCTTAGCAGCTGCTTTCTTGCTCTCGGCAGATCTCAGTTCCAGTCCTCGTCTAATGGTGGGTACAATGAGGGCTAAAGAGGGAGGATCAACTTTGTGTTCAAATTCAGTGAGAAGGAGGGACTGGAGACAAGGCTGTGTCTTTACTGACGGATTGGTCAGTGCCTCAAGTAATAGAGGAATCAATGGCTTTATCTCAGGGCTCTTAATAACGGAGCCAATCTGTTTCAAAGCCTCGGTACCTGCCAGCTGGACTTTACTATGCGAGTCAGCAAGAACTTCCATTATTTTCGGTACTATCGATGGGAGACAAGCTGACAGCTGCTTAGGAGCACAATAGGCCATTGTACCAAGCAACTCAACGGATCCAGCCTTAGTCCTCCAGCTGTCTTGCTGAAGTGCGTTTAAAAGAGCCGGTAATATCAGGGTCATACCATGTCCACTTAAATTAGACATTATTGTCCTTGCAGCCAGTTGAGCTGCTTCTCTGACATACTTGTTCCCATCACCAAAGGCTAATAATAAATCCGGTAAAAGATGGACGACATATGGCTCGTAGAGTTTCCCTAACATGTCACAAAAAGCCTCAAAAGCAAAAAGGCCTCCCTCCCTCTCCTTGTAATCCTTCTTGTTGGTGAGTGCCGACTGGAGCCGAGGAGTTACATTGTACTTCTTTAACGAAGGAATCCCAAGACCTTTCACAATACCAGCCAGACCATAGGCTGCTCCTCTTCTCTGACTGTAAACTGGTGAAGTGAATAACTAAAAATCATAATAAACAAATAAATAAATATGTTATTAATTATACTTTATTTAATAAACTGTCAATAGTCTCCTGAGCCTCATCTTTCATTACAACAAACAGCGGAACTAGACACTCAGCAATAGACACTTGAACCTAAAGTAATTAATAATAATTAATTAATTATTAATTAATAATAATTAATTAATTATTAATTAGCTTACAGTTTGTGATGGAGTATCCAGATTAGTCAATAAAAGCTGAACAACAGTGCGAACCTAAAAATTATAAATGGGCAATCAGTTAAATTATAATAAGGCACAGGTACTTTAGGATCGCCTTTGTCCATGTGTTTAGCCAGTGATCCCATTAACACAACTATTGATTGACGAGTGATATCACTTGATTTGGAATCATCTAATCTACTTAAACACGTCTCAAAATGATTCATCAGGTCAGCCGACAAGCCCTAATTAATAACAATTAATTAATCGATTGATAATGAATATTAATTACCTCTCCGTGTACAGATATTGCTGACAGTGCAGTTTCCTTCATGTTCTCCCTCACCTCTTCATTAGCGTCACTCAGTCCGAGCGGAATTATAAATAGTAACATTGTCATGCACTGGTCACGTGACTGATGGGCAGGGAATTCCGCTAAGCACTTGGCCACACCCACTCTACCCTCCCAGGGGTCCTTATAATCAATGGATAGGGTCCGACCAAACTTGTCTGCAGTTGGAACAGGTGGCTAAAAAGGAGCTTTACTAATTCATTATTTTATTATTAAATATGACATACTTTTATTTTTGACTTGTATATTATTACGAGTTTATTGTACAAGAAATCAATTTCATTTTTATTCTCTTCTAGCCATTGGCCCAGGGCTTGAGCCGTTGCCGGGAGGAGCTTATGGTAACTAGGGGGCGGGTCAGTGACTAGCGAGAACAGAGGACTGAGGATATCTTTAGAACCTTTTGAAAAACCAAACCTTTGCCATAACCTAAAAACATAAAGACATCATATGCATGTACCTTGTGTAGAAAGTTTAAGCTGATTCAATCAAAAATTGAATGTTTTTAACAAATTTTAAAATTACCCAAAAGCCCCACAATATTAATAAGCACGTACTTTGTTGCCAGCTGGTTATTGTCAGGAATGACGTCATGGCAACACACTAATAAAGATGCCTGGAGGTTTCCTGAAATATTATCACTGCTAATTATTTTATTATACAATAACTCGAGTCCATGTAATGAGGTCTGTCTCAACAGATCTTCATTTGACTGCAATCCATCAACTAGTACATTAATGACATCATTGGACACACCCCCTCCATCTCCGCCTTCATTTATAATATTAATTAAAGATTTAAAACCATCTATGGCTAATTTCTAAAAGTAATGGAAGGTAAAATTAAAAAATATATTACATTTACTTTAGACTTTATGCTACGAAGAGGCGTGGCTCTAGAAGCAATAACCACACCCATTAATCTAAGAAAATCGGCTACAGGAAAAATATCAGAATGAGCCTAAAAAAATAAATAAAAACAACAACAAGGTCACATGACCTACTTGTTTACAAGTATTTGATAAACAAAGAAGTGATACTGAAACTGATTCTGAAACCAGTTCAACTTGAGTCTCCAGAATACACTTAAATAACGGAAAGGAGTAACACCATATGGTATCGTTGACCACACCCATTCGATCCTTAGGTAGTAGACCAATTAACGTATTGATATTACTTGTTATGGGAGGAGCCCCCCAGGTACGAGGGGGAGATAATTTTGGTGCTTCTAATCTTAACGTAGTCCACAGAAATAAAAGAGCTAAACAATAAAATTTTTAAAAATATATATTAATAAAAAACAAGACAAATGTAAAACATAAATGGGGTGAACCTAAGCAATTTGTACAAGTTTTTAGACAACAGTACAGTAATTATGCTGACTTTTAGTTGCAAGAAGCTGAAGACTAGCGTCAGTTTGATACAGTAAGTACAAAGTACCTTAAGCTCGCCCCACACAACAGACATACTGTACCTGTTCTATCATCATTGAATATGACAAGACAGATATTTTTCAACATGTCAACACAAATCTTCTGAGCCAGCATAGACTTGATCCCGTTTAAAATCGGTGTCAATAAAAGATGAAAATACGGCAAGGCCACGCCTCCTAATTGAAGGAGGGACCGAAAGAGAGACCAAATTAAATCAAGTTCTGTCTTAAGTGCGTTAACTGATTTCCGTATCTTTGATTCCAAATCAAGCTCATTCTCAATCCTCTCTCGCTGAGACTGTGTTAAAGATGATACAGCAATCAATTCCTTGATACTCTTATCTCGTAAGGCTCTTAGTTTCAGTTCTGAGGACGTCTTTAGGTCCCAGACGTGGTCCTCGTGAGAATAAGCCTTGTTGCTCCGTTGGACATTTGACATTGAACTCTGGCCAATCAGATTCTCGTGTAACCTACAAGAATTAATAATATCACTTCACCAATAAAGTAGACCTTACAATTTTGTCAATTCTTTATTGTAAAGTTCATCCTCTGAAGTTTCTGATATTTCCATGTCACTCAAACTGACCCTCATAATCTCCTCCTTGCCCAACCCCTTTACAATCACATTAACTATCGCTAGTATAACTTCATTGCCATATATAGCAATGAGAGATTGGAGCCCGTTCTTTGTAGAGAAGGAGGGACTGTTGACATTCTCATGGAGTTGAGAGGAGAGAGGTTGGAGGAGAGAAGACATTGAAGGAATATTCAACCTTTTATAGAGGAGGAGCCATGGCCCATAGCGACATAAAGAAACTAGAGAGGTACAGATATTATTATTATTATTATTATTAACTGAATTACAGTTCTTTTACCAAGTGATGAATGGTGTGCAATTAGAAATGATTTCTCAATAAATTTGATTTTATTATCATCTGTGGTTACCACGGCAACTGTCAGCAGGAGCTTCAATATCAAGTTAACAATTCGATCAGTTTTCATGTCCTCCTAATAATACACCACCAATGAAAGGTACTGCATCAACCATACTGACCTGGTCAATGGTGGACTCCAGCAATTCTATTATGGTAAAGACGATGTCTTCAGATATGAGAACTGAATCTTTTAAATTATTCATAGCCTGCGACTGTACGGACCAGCTGGAACCAGTTAATGAAATATGGACCAAACTGTAGACCCAATCACTAGTAATGGAACAATGAGGGGATCTGATTGGTCAGTGATCATGTGACTAACTTTATTGATGATATCACTAGACCAGGTAATGGTGTCACTAAAATGAACCTTGATATATTAATGATATTAATAACAGCTGTAATTAATCAAACATAGAATATAATAAATAAATAGAATGTATTTGCTGTACTTTGCTGATCGGCAGCTGAAAGAAACTTCGAATTTACAAAACAATCAGAATCCAATAATGGAGACAACTTGGAAAGACACAAGGAAACTTAATAATGATTAGAAATAATTAGCAATCAATTAATTAATTTAATTACGAGAATCATTATCAGCAGCACGTGACATGAGTAACCATGACAACGTCACGCCCTCCTCCAGCACAGGATTCTGGACTCCAGCAGTTTTAACTCTTCCAATTCCCTAAATGTATTGCCATAGCAACAGGTAACGTAATAATACTAACTTGTTGAATGACATTCAGAAAGTCGTTAATTAATTTATTTTCTCCTAGTGGGCGGAGCCATTAAACACATGTACATGTATTACGATACCTTTACAGAGTTCATCAACACACTGCCAATAGCATAATCTCATTAGAGGAGGTGTGGCTTTTGAACTTAAAGCCGACTATGACAATATAAACATTATTATTTATTATTATTATTATTATTAATTACCTTTAAATGAGATATTAAATTATTTGGAACATTTTTAAAAGACGAGCAAAACAAAGAAATTGTTCTGACAATATGCAGCTGTGTACCGGAATGAGCTGTGAGTGAACAAAGGGTTAAAAATACAGGAAACTAAAGGGTTAAAATAAACACCTTCCTGCTTGAGGTAGAGCAGAAGAGACTCCACAATAACGTTGGAGAGTGAGTCCATCCCTTGAGCTGCTAATGGACACTCTCTAAATACCTTGATACCTAATATCCTCCATAAAATGACATGCGACCAATCAAATGGAGGGATTACTTTCAAGCACGTTCTGTCTGTGATCAGTGTTAGAGAGTTTTCCGGAGGGTCCTGAACACATTTAATATTGAATAATTATCAGACCCCCTGTGTGTGAATGCACATGTACCTTTTCCATACAAGATATTCAATAAGTAATTAGTTAGCTCAATACAAGAACCGGCATCAGAACAATTATTAATCAATCTTTTAATGAATACAACAGCAGCTGTTCTGGTACTGGCATTAGCCGAATATAACTGACCTTTTAAATTAATAAATAATAATAATAATAATATTTAATGATTTTTACTTGACATGTTCTTAATGTATTCCATTGCGTAGCGACTGAAATCCAAATCAACATTAACAAATAGACAACTTACAGCTGGAAATAAAAAATATGTACCTCATTAATATTCGTGCACGCATGGAGACAGACAGACATACCTCTTATCAATTCATCTGGATTCCTTAATAAACATTTATAACTAGCTGAGAATATTGATTCAGAAAACTTGGAATGACTAATCTCATTCAACACGTGAGTACAACAGATCTAAACATAAAGGATATCGCCATTACCATGGCAACTAAATAATTACCACTAGTTGCTCCGGAATGACAACACGACAATTAAAAATACTTTTACTATAAAACCCAATCACTTCATCCTGTCAACAGTAGTTACACATTATTAAAATTATATCATTATTATTATTGTTACCTTTTTTGCTGACAGCTGCTCTTTCGTCTTTCCATTTTCAATACAAAACTTACAAATTATATTCAAAAGTGGTAGGTAGTAAAAAGTGGGTGTGGCTTCCAATAATATATGTAAAATACTCAACAATTTGTCTTTGTCCTTTGTTAATAACTTGATGTATTTGTTAATTAACTTGGAGTTCGAACTCAAATACAGGCAGCAGAGGAAGTTAGACTGTGCATTAATTAGAGTACCCGAAACGTTACACAAAGCACACCATTTCAAACCAATAAAAGCACATTTACTCATTGATACCCTGTAGTGTAATTAATTAATTATATTATTATTACATTGTCATTTTTACCGATTACAATCTTTAAATGTTTTTGATATTTTTAATAAAATTTCCACCAATTTTTCATTATTACTTCTACCTAAATTAATAATAATAATAATAATAATATTAATGATGATAATAAACCTACTATTACAGAGCTCTCTCAATATTTCCTGCACTAGTATCATTGAAGGAGCATCTCTACAAATAATGAAGAACAGAATAGCCACACCCCTTTACCTGTACAGATAAAGTGTATCGGTCAATTTATAAAGCAATTCTGGGTTGCTACTCTTGGCTGTATCAAATAAAAAATTTAAAAAATAAAAATAAAATAGATTACATTATACCTTTGCTACTTTTAACTGACTCGAGAAGTTCTTCTAACCTCTTGATTCTTCTCTTTAACACTCCTTTTCCTGTCTCCATTATCAAGCCTTACCTGCAAAATCTATCATATCAACATTAAAGAAAAATACTGAACTTACCTTACCACGTGGCACATTTTCTACTCACGTGATTCAAAAGTCACCTGACCTAGTACCTTACCTAGTACCTTACACCCACATTTACGTCATATTACGTATGCTAATTTTTTTTAGAGGTGTGGCTGATGCATTAGAAAGTCTATTAAACTAGGGCTTCTGTTTATCATCATTTTGCCCTCTTGCATCACTCTTAATTTATACTTAAATTTATGTTATAATAATAATAATAATAAAAAAGATAGCAAAAGTATCAATAACAATAATAATTTATAACAACAATAAAGACAATAATAGTAATAATAATAATAGTAATAATAATGACAAACAAAATGAGAAATTATTATTATTATTAATAACTAGCATGAAGTGTTCAATAAGTCTATTGCTCACTCATTCCTCTTAGCTCCCCTTTAGTTCTGGCCTATTGGGTTTAAAAATTTAAAAGTAACAGGAGAGAGAAAGAAAGAGAGAGAAGACATACTTCTTCTAAAGCTTTCCTAGTTTCTTCTTCAATCCGTCTAATGTCGTCCATTGTCATTCCATACCACTCATCCAACCAGCAATAAACTTGTCTGTGAAATGAAGTGAATATCCTACGCTCAGCCTAAATGGTGACAGTAATGACATTAACACTGATATTGATGCTAATACTGATATAATAACACTGATATTGATGCCACGAACCTTCATTATCATACTTTCAACTCTGGTCTGTAGCCCCCACCATTTAAATTCACAAGTTACAAGTTTATAGGCACACATTATCGGCTGGGAAGATTCCTAAAAATATAATAACAATAATAATAATAATAATTATTATTATTATTATTATTTCTTGCCTTCCAGTCAGGTTTTAATGGTCCCCTGTCAGCCCTTTCGGAGCGGACTAACCTTGGATCCCATTCAGGTTTATAATCCTACAATCAATCAATTAATCAATCAATCAATTAATTAATTAATTAATTGATTAATCTCACCCGTGGGTCATAAGGATCATTAACAATATCAATAGTGACCACTTCTCTTAATTTCAAAAGATCAGGTGGTAAGTTATGAACCTGTCCCAATATCCAACAATAAGTCATCATGTGATTATCATGTGACACTCACGTTTTCCTGTAGCCCCCTGTCGTCTGCAATGTGAATGGACTCTATCGTTATCTTGAACCCGTCCTTCATGTAATCAGGGTTCTATACAAACCACACCCACTCAATTATTATGAATATTAATTAGTTAACATACGGTAATATCTGTCTTGATGTAAGGAAAAGCATTTATTGCTTCCTCGTGGACTTCAAGAGATCCTTTGGGAGCCAACGCTCTCACAAAACGAGGTACTTTACTGGAAATATAATTAATAGGTGTGACAGTGGGTGTGGTTTAAACATACTGTGATAAGTGGAATATCTTATGAGTGAACTGTCCCTTTCCATGTTTGTCAAAATCTCTTTCTTCGTTTATGACGACCTCAACACCGTCACCACCTCCTGTTTCATTTTTACTAGCTTGAGCGACCGACCATAGCTGACCAACATGATACTAGTATAATAATAATAATAATAGTAATAATAATAATAATAATAAACGTTTTTAATTAATTAATTAACAAGTGCAATGTGTAAAGTGAGAGAGAGAGAGAGAGAGAGGGAGGGAAAGGAAGGAGGAAGTGACCTGTGAGGTGTTTTAACAACACTGCCAATAAAATATAATAAACTCACTTCTTCAGGAGTGAAGGGAAGAATAATACGACTAAATAAAATAAAGATACAAGTGATAAAATATTTGTTAATAAAATGCTTGAATAGAATTACTAAGCAAACTATTATATAAATTAAGCAAACTACATTAAACACACAATAATTGTATACATAATTGTTATCTCGATAATACAACGTTATACATACAAAATACTTACAATTCCTTTATCAACATGACGTGGCAGGTCTTTAAGAATATAATACCAGTACAGTGGGCTAGCAGTAGAAGGAATGAGAGGCAGTAGAGACCTAGGAGGACCTGAGGATCAGAATAAACGTAAAAAATACAAAAGGTGGTCAAAAGGTAAGGGTGGTATGGTTTGATCAGCAGGCCGGAATGACGTCAGAAGTATATTTACCACGCCTATAGTATACGGGAAATATGATTGACTGAATACTTTCCGTGGATTTATTTCTCACTGCGCATGCGCAATAGAGTCCGCAAAGAGGTGAGGCTGCCTTGCCGAAGATTTGTACTCCCACGCATAATAATCCTATTACCTGTATAGGCGTGGTATACTAAATACCGACTGTTCAAGACGACCGGCCAAAGATAGAGCGACAAAGCACATTTTACTTTATTTTCACAAGCTAAAGATGTCAACTGGTGATTATGTTAAAGCTGGATACGCAAAGAAGTGTGGTAAGTATCGTCTGTGCTTCCAGGCTGGTGCTAAATACAGTCTTTTACGGTCTTGTATCTTGTTTTAGGTGGCAACGTCAAATCATGGAAGAGGAGATATTTCATGCTAAAGCCTAACGGGTTCCTGTATTATTATCCCGACTCACAGTGCAAGGCTGAGAAAGGACGCGTTGATATTATTAACATGGAGCGTGTGTGTACTTATGAAGCAGGGATTGGAGACAAGCTACCTGATCCTTCATCAATGGATCGATCATTGGTGATCGTAACACAGGACAGGAATTATACATTTGTTTGTGACACTCAACACGAGTGCAGGTAATTAATTACTGTTTACAGTATAACTGTTGCAATATGGGAATACACTAGCGTAACCTACGTCAGACCATTATTACTGGTACAGTACAGGGTAGTTATTGTATCACAACTGTTATTAACCAATCGGAACCTGGTTGATATTCAATACACATGTACATGGTATATGAATGCCATTTAGTGTAGGAGAGTTGGACTGATTCATTGTTAATGAGAATGAATGTCATAATAATAATGATAATAATGTCCTTACGTGTAGAATGGAATGTAACCTTTGAATCATGAGACAGGATGTTCATAACATCATCTTTTAATGTTGCTGGCAGCCTTATGCAAGTGTTATTTCCCTATTTCTATATTGACGTATTAATTGCATTTGTTATTTATTTGTTTGTTTATTTGTGTAGAGAATGGATTGGTGCACTGTCGAAGGTTAAAGATGGCAGTGAGCCACAGAAGTATCCTGACCCAACCTATCTTAAGAATACAGACTTGGCTCCTCCCACTGATAACACTGCCCCTCCTCCTTATACAGCAGTGGCCCCTCCTACGATACATGAGCCCCAGGGACCCCCTATGCCTCAACCAATGCCCCAGGGACCTCCCATGCCACAAGCTCCGCCCATGCCCCAGGCTCCCCCAATGCCAATGGGTCGTCCATTGTCTCATCAAGGTCCTCCTATGCCCCAGGCCCCTCCTATGCCATTGGGTCGTTCATTATCCCAGGGACCTCCAATGTCCCAGGCTCCTCCAATGCCCCAGGCTCCTCCTATGCCCCAGGCTCCTCCCATGCCACACCCCCAATATCCTCCTAATTATACTCATACTGCTCCTCCTCCAGGTCCTTATAACGGTCCTTATCGTCCTCCTCAGCAGCAGTACCCTCCCCCTCCACAGAGGCACCAGTACCCTCCTCCTCCTCAGAGGCAGCAGTACATGCAGCCTCCTCAAGTCAGGCCACCATCTTTGACTCCGCCCATGCAGAGAAGCTGTCCACCACCTGCTCCCTATCAGTCCAGGCCTTATGTACCAGGTCCTCAGCCCCGCCCACCTCAGCGGCCTCACTCAGCTGTAGTTCAACAGCAATCATCAGTTAATGTCACTGTTGTTAACTTGGCAGCTGCTCCACAGCAGAGAATAATCTATCGCTAATGAGCCGTGCATATTGATGATAATAACTATGACATTGTGTGTCTTATATCTTGTATTATCTGTCTCACTCCTTGTTAAAATGCACAACTATCTGTCTCACTCCTTGTGAAAATGCACAACACGTTTTATTGTTATTACTACTACTATTATTATTCTTGTCATGTTATTGTTGTATTACTTATTTAAATAATTATTATAATTAATCTATTAGTTTAATTTGTTTTGCTATCTCTTCGTTAGTAACATGGTAAACTCTTTCTCTTGGAACCAGTAGTTTATCCCATTGACGAGATATCACATTGGCTTGATACTGATCATGAACAAAATCACTGATATCAGTGATATCAGTGGTCCATTCATCACCATATCGTGCTAGTATATCATTTCTTAATCCTAGTTGGATGGCTCTTCTGCTCAGGGCCGATCCATCAGGATGATGATCAGGATCCCACTGGAGTCTCACTGGTGACTGGCCTTTCCCTAGCAACTTCTCATCATGACCTATCGTTAAATAATAAATATTCATTTGGTGTTATTTATTTGTTTATTTGTCGTGTCTTCCAAACTTTCAGTGCTTTCAATTCTAAAATAAATTGTAGCAGGAGACAATATACCAGTAAAAGCTTTTAACTTGCAATTGTACTACACCTGCTTGCTAGGTAATGCTACAATCATGCATAAAGAGATCTACATGCTCATAATAATTTCAATTCGCCATTACCAGTAAGTGCATGCGATAGTATTGTATCAAATCCATTTCTAGAGATCCTGACTGCTAGGACCATCTCCTGGTTCTCTTTTGATCCCCAACCGCTCCTGTACATCATCCACAGGAAGTTAGTCTTTATCCATGACATACGACTGTAGGAGAAGAGAGGACCACCAAACCTGTTCCAAATACAAGTATTTAATACTCACAATTACTATTATCAGCCCTGCTTTTGACCCTACTTTTGGTGTTCGATGGCATATGACCCAATGCCTCTAGAGTAAGCCTGGTATACAATGATGTCTTCATCATCATACTGAGCTAATATATGCTTCCCGTCCTTAGGCCATACTCCAGTCTGCTGCTCAATGTAGGACTCTCTTATCCAGTCCTTTCCCTTCAAACTCTTATCCTGCTGAGCTGTTGCCATTATCAGGATCTTTTATGGGCGGGGCTGTTTCCACCAACTGCACACGTGAAAACACGTGGGTAAGAAGGTGTGGCTATTAATGAAAATGGAGTACTCTGGGTATCATGTAGCAGGAGCTGTTGCAGGAGGTATAGGGCTAGGATTAGTGATAGGATTTATAATCAGCAAAAGAAACCAACCAGCCAAACTGCTGAGGAGTCTGCAAGTAATTATATGTAGTTATTCTAATTAATGCCCACCACTGCAGGGTGACTCTGATTTTAGTATTCTTGATTATGTCAAAGGACAATATAAAATGGTATTATTAGTTAGAAACGATTTGAAAATGGGGAAAGGAAAAATGGCAGCTCAAGTAAGAATAATAATAATAATAGTTATTATTATTAGTTAATTAATTGGTAGGTGGGGCATGCTGCAGTGGGAGGGTACAAGCAAATAATGCGAAGTAATATGGAGGTATGATTAATTAATCAAAAATCATTTATTTATTTTTATTTAGTTATTAAGGCGTTGGGAGAGAGCTGGTCATATGAAAGTTGTAGTTAAAGTTCCTGACAGAGATTCATTGTAAGGATAATACCATGGACTATAATAGTACAGGGTATTGTTTAGATTTTGAGTGTTTTCTTAAAATGGCCGTAACTTGAAAAATTGAAGTCTGAATCAGCTCAAACTTGCTAAAAAGCATAAGGACATCAATATGTATCAGAAAATGTAATAAAAATTTGGGGTGATTTTGGAGCCATTTTTTGGAAGAAACCATGGGCTATAGCCTTGGGTATTTTTCAAATTTTTGACGTTTTCTTAAAATGGCCGTAACTTGAAAAATTGAAGTCGGAATCGGCTCAAACTTTCTACACAGCATAAGGACATCAATATGTATCAGAAAATGTAATAAAAATTTGGGGTGATTTCGGAGCCATTTTTTGGAAAAAACCATGGGCTATAGCCTTGGGTATTTTTTAGATTTTTGACGTTTTCTTAAAATGGCCGTAACTTGAAAAATTGAAGTCGGAATCGGCTCAAACTTTCTACACAGCATAAGGACATCAATATGTATCAGAAAATGTAATAAAAATTTGGGGTGATTTCGGAGCCATTTTTTGGAAAAAACCATGGGCTACAGCCTTGGGTATTTTTCAGAATTTTGGCATTTTTTAAATTGGCCGTAACTTGAAAAATTGAAGTCAGAATCAGCTCAAACTTGCTACTTAGCATAAATACATCAATGTGTGTGTGTATAAATATTCCTCTTTCCCTCAGTATTGATGTGATACATGAAGCCAGTGGGTGTGGCATTAACACCTATTTAGTCCGTGATGCTGGTAGAACTCAAATTGCTCCTGGATCAGAAACTGTCCTGTGTGTTGGACCTGGTTAGTTTAATTAACTTAATTTATTATTAATTAATCATTAATAATAATTATAGGTCCCTCAGATATTGTAGATAAACTAACAGGACATTTTAAATTATTATAATAATGAATAAATTAATTATGAATATTTTCTAATATATAATCGGTCGTCATTGCAGCTGCTTCAATACATCCTTCAAGATTTGAATGAGTGAAGGCGTCCCCAGTAATAACAACCAGAGGTTTACTGGACAACACAGCATAGCCAGGTGATCCAACGTATCCTTTAAAAACCTGAGAATATCTCCATCTGATGATATAACTGTGTACTGGTGGGGGTAGGTCAGGCAACAGTTCCTTCACAGCTCCTAGCAATACCTCTTTGACCCTGTCTTTGTCCGTTTCAAGTTCCTTTAGACCAAAAGGAACTGAACTGTGTACCAATAAACTCGAGACTTCATTATCGTCCTTTAATGAATACTTGTTACTGTCCCAGCACATGTACCGGACTATGGAGTCATCGTAATACTTTCCTGTCCAACTTGTTTTAGGAACAGGTTCGGTAAAGAATAGCCCTAGGGCATAGCGAGAGGAATAGGCCACACCTCTTAAATTATCGAGTACATCTTGAGGCGTATCCTTGAACAGGTTCCCTTTCAGCGAGAGGCACTGAGGGACAGGAAGGGTTAAAATTAAAGACTCCGCCTCCTCAACCAATCCATCACTTGACGTTAAGACGATAGACTCATCTTTGATCTCAACTGATTCCAATTGAGTCCGATACTTAACATTGACCTTTGACCTCTCCAGGAAATACTTTGGTACTCCATTGATACCATTTGCCGATACATAATGCACGGTAGGTGTGGCAGTGGGCGTGGCTGATTGAGGGCTCCCCTCTATAATCCCTTGAAATGGAATGAGTGTCTCGGTTCTTAATAATTCTCCAAATAATTTATTTTTAATGTTTTCCATGGACTTGTTGTCACGTGATGAATTATACCTAGTGATGTATTGGGCCCCCATATCCACATGAGCTTGTACTGAAGAGTCTATTCCTGTTCTGTGAGTGCTCATTCTCCCTCCTCCTCCTCTCCCCTTCTCCCACATGTTGAGTATTAGGTTAGGGCTGGAGTCCATTAGGAATGAGCTGCTCAGTGCTCCAGTAGCTCCTGCTCCAATTATCATAACTCGCTTGCTGCTCGCCGCCATTTTGTTTTAATAACGAGCCCCGCCCCAAGCACTTGCAACTAATTAGCCACGCCTTTCTTTATTGACCACGCCCACTCAGATTCAATGCTTCAGCTAACAGAGCAACGTGAAGAGGCGAGGTAAGTTAACCCTAGCTCTTTCTTGCTCTCTCTTTATCCCCTTGAGTCTAGCTGCTTGAAATGGAGCTAAATGTTGCTATACAAACCTAGCCATAGTCTTTCAATTATTACAAGTTTATGTATCTCTAATTAATTTAATTATTTTTTATTAATTACTAGACCAGTTATGGCTGAAGGATTGGCGGTGAAAACTATTAAACTTTTGAATAAAAGAACAGAAATATGTGATGTTGAACTGATCAGCTACTCAAATGAGCAGATTCCATTTAACATGTATGTTATTACATGTGATATCATTATTATTATTATTATTATTATTATTATTATTACTTTAGTGATTTCAATTTGAATATCAAAAAGAGGATTAGCTTTTTAGAAATGAAGAAAAAAATCAGTTCAAAGATATTTCCTTTACTGCCTATGCTGAGTCGCCAATCGAAAGGTATTATTAATTAGAGGGTGTGGCTAATTAATTAATTAATAGTGGTACACAATGGGCAGCTGATAGTGTACTTGGAGTTGAGAGCTAGCGGCATATCTTCTCAAAACAAATTTAAAAATGTTTTTGATAGTTTGAGGAAAATGAAATGGGTAAGACGCCATTTTAATAGTACAATGTACAGCACTTTTCCCTTTCTTTTTCTCTCTGTCTCTCTCCCCCCCCCCTCTCTCTGTCTCTCTCCCCCCCCTCTCTCTCTCTGTCTCTCTCCCCCCCCTCTCTCTCTGTCTCTCTCTCCCCCTCTCTCTCTCCCCCCTCTCTCTCTCCCCCTCTCTCTCTCCTCCCTCTCTCTCTCCCCCTCTCTCTCCCCCCCCTCTCTCTCCCCCTCTCTCTCTCCCCCCTCTCTCTCTCCCCCCTCTCTCTCTCTAGGTTGCTACAGCCACTCCTACTGATAACGTAAAAGTCTTCATTATACCAACTTCATCTCTGACACATGAACTGGGTAACAAACATAATGATAGATCTAGAGGGAGTTTAGGAGACTTTTGGTTTTCCACATTTTGTCTAAGTCTCCTGAAATCTCCTTTGGTCCCTCCTCATATTTAGCCCTAGGACTTCTTAAGTTTCCCATTTTTAGTTAGACTGGCCTCCTAGTGTTTATTTCTATATTAACAATGGCCCTTGCACTACCCCTCCTATCCTATTCTAGTCATGATGATAACATCACTAGCATAACAACACTCTCCCTGACATATGTTCTTTGTCCCTTAAGGTCTGACTAGTGAGGAGTACTCCATTGGTCTTCATGCTTTGTTTGTCTTATTGGAGGAAGGTGGATCATCTTACCACTCCCAGTCTTTAGGATCTGGTTCCCAAAATTCAGGATCTGGTACCTGTTCTTTAGAAATAGAAACAGTCCCGTCTCAAGCTGTCACATTTAATGGTTAGCTATAAAGTATCAGTATTGAGTATTATATTATTGTTGTTGTTTTGTTGTTGTTTTGTTGTTGTTGTTTTGTTGTTGTTTTGTTGTTGTTACTTTTGTTGTTGTTATTTTTCTAGAGCTAATAGGTCCTAATGATGAAGTGGGTTCTGTTACCAAGAGATCTTCTGATGTTTCTAGCAGTGTAATAAGAATGACTGTGCCAGAGCCTCACTATGGTAATTTATTCATTGATTTATTAATTGATTCATTAATTTATTCATTAATAGCTAGAGATTGTGGCATTGTAGAGTATAGAGTTGAGATCACTACAATAACTCAAGTAAATTATTAATTATTATTATTATTATTAATATGTCACTGTGCTATTGATCATTATTATTGAACACGAGTGGACAGAAACCAACCTAACCACTTGTCCAGTAACAATGCCTAGAATGCTTGTAGCATTCCAAATTTGATTGCTTTTATAAAAGGGACTTTCCTCTCTCACTTTTGGTCTAAATTGATATCCCATTTATCAGCTTTTGGTATCTTATAATAATGAGCTTTAGGTCAACATTTTCTTATTTCTATCTCTATAATAACTATCATTATCATTACATTACTGTTGTTATTATTATTGCTTTTAGGATATTTCATCGGATATATTTAGTGAGGTAACCATAGTAACACAGGATAACGAGGAGGGAGAAGTAGATGTTCTTTCCTGTGATGCTGATCAGTTATTGAAAGGACTTCAAGAGGAGGAGGAGCAGCTACAAGACAAGAGACAGGAAGAGGAGGAGAAAGGAGAAGAAGAGACTGTCACTTCAACTTTTGAAAAGAAGCGTGTGAGCATAGAAGAATATAGAGATCGTAAATCAAAGCCGACAGTTTCTGAATCACCTCAACCGCCGACCTCTAATCAAATAAGTGCCAGTCCTTCGTTAACACAACAGCAGCAGGTTCCTTATTGCCAGCCTGTTGTTGTGGGTGGGGCCCTCCCTCCTCAGAACGTGTTAAGTAATTATTATTCATTATCAAGGACTCATTATCCGCCCACACTTCCTTATATGGGGACACCTAATCACTTGCTCTCCTCTCATATGCACTCTTATATTCCACGCCCTCCAATTAACACGCCCATAGCTCCAATTAATGCCCCTCTTCAACCGGGGCAGTTCCAACAGTTGTCCTCCATTCTTCAAGCTGAAGATTTCATCAGAGAGAACAACAGGAGGAAAAGGTCCCGTCATTATTATCGGAGCCGGTCTCGTTCCCGGAGCCCCTCCTCTAGTAATTCCCGAACCCGTTCTCGTAGGACCCGTTCTCGTTCCCATTCCAGGAGCCACTCTCGTTCCACTTCTTGGAGTCCTCCTCGTTCCAATTCGAGGACTCGTTCTCATAGGACTCATTCTCGTTCCAGAAGTCATTCCTATTCCAGGAGCCGTTCCCCTAGCCCGCCCGTCAGAGACAGGCACTCTGAGGTACCAACCGGAGGAGGAGGAGGAGCCGCTCCCTCTAAAGACAAGCAATGTCAAACTAGTAACACTGTATCACTCAAATCAAAAAGAATTCAAGTAGACACGTCTTATTTTAACTACTCCATAGGGACACAGACAGCGAAAACAAGAGTATTCAATAGCAGTAGCCAAACTCACCACACTTGTATTCATGACAGTGTAGCAGAGCTGAACGCTCTCTTCTCCAGTGAGATTGAAGACTCACTGATTGAAGAACATTACAAGATACTGGAGGAGTGTATTGATTCACATTGTCCTCCTAATGTCAATAGGAATGAGTCACCCCTATCAGGTTGTTCACATATCAGTGAGGGGATCTGGAGCGGAGAGGATCATGATGATGTCATCAATACATCAGATGATGTCATCAATTCATCAGGTGATGTCATCAATACATCATGTGATGTCATCAATACATCATGTGATGTCATTGTTGAATCTTCACAAGAGGAATGTGTTGCAGTTGATGTTAAGAATCATGTGGAGATGATTGATCATAAAGAAACCAGTGATCACGTAGATATCACTGATGATCAAGGAATCAGTAATCATGTAGATATCACTGATCATGTAGAGATCAGTGATGATCAAGGAATCACTGATCATCAAGATATCACTGATCAGGGAGAGACCAAGGATTGTGTTGGTCCTGAATTAAACTCAGTATCAAGCGTCAATGATAATTTAATGGGACCAACGCCAATGGTACTAGAGGAGGAGGAAGGCACTGATGAGGTAATTACTCCTTTGTCTCCTCTCAATGATATTTCTGTGTCTGATAGCTCGTTAAGGATCAAGAGTTCCTCAGCTCCGCCCACTTTAATTAATAACATGTATGGCAATATATTGGAAAGAGTTCGTGTTCATATTTTAAGATCCAAAAGTGTTTCTCCTTCAATTGGTGAAGTACTACCTCCTCTACCTCCTTCATCCCCTCCTCCTCCTGGTCCTCCCCCTCCTCCTCCTGGTCCTCCTCCTCCTTCATCCCCTCCTCCTCCCCCTCCCCCTGGTCCTCCTCCAACTGCTCCTCATTCTGACCCATCTCTTTTTCTACCTCTTCCTACTCCTTCACTTCTTTCTACTCCATTTATTCATGATCAGCCTCCTGTTCATGCTCCGCCTCCTATTTATGCTCCGCCCCATTCTGTTTATGCCCCATCCCCTTCTGCTCCTCTTCTCTCTGCTCTGCCCCCTCCTGCTCATGTTCTTCATGCTCCGCCCCTTCATTCTTCTGTGTATGCTCCTTCTCATCAAGTTCAATATGCTGCGGCTCCACTCACTTTTCCCCCGCCCCCTTGTCCATCCATTCAGTCTCCGATAGGATACCATTCAGTCCTTCGTACTCAGAACAATAGAAACTCTATTAATGACCACATGGTAAACATTTAGCAATCTTTATTTATTGATTATTATTTGTGTTTGTGTTATTATTATTATTGAATTATAATAAGAGATTTAAAACCAGTTCCAACTGTAATTCAACGTCACTTGAAGACTCAAAAGACTATCAAGTCACTAAAGCATACACTCACTGACCTAGGGACTTTACCAGGTGACGTTGCATTGCAATTTGAACTAGTTTTAAATGAGAATTGAGCTTACCACTTCCGTGTATTATTAACATTTATTATTATTATTACTAATTTAGGAAGCATTCCCACTTTCTCCTGAGATTGAAGATGGCGAAATTGTTGAAGAAAACGATTGTTACTGTCAGTCTCCTCTCATTACGTCTCCTGTCACTTCTGACGGTCATTTCACTGATGTGTCCAGCCACTCTGAGAAGCTTCGCTGTGATTATACTTCAGAAGAAGAGGAGGAGGAGGAGGAGGAGCCTGTTCCTCCATCAGCTGCCACCAGTAGGGATATTATTAATAATTTATTCAGTATACCAGCCCCAGCGTTCCCTTCAATAGTCTTGTTACAATCAGTCTCAAGAGGATTCCTTATAAGGAGGTATAGAAAGAGGGTATGTAACGCAGTCCTCACCATACAGAGATACGCCCGTGGGTACATTGCTCGCTCAAAGTACACTAGAATGCGTACAAGTGTCGTCATACTTCAGGCTAATCTTAGAATGTACTTGGGTAGATCCTCTTACCTTAAGTTACGGTCCAATGTAGTTAAGCTTCAGTCGTTTGTACGCATGGTAATCATTAGGAGGTGGTACAGGAGAGCTCTAGCTGGTATCAGATCAGTCCAGTCTCTTTATAGAGGACATAGGGCTAGAAGAGCTTTCAGGAGAGCAGTAAGAGGATTTACCTCATTTCAATTATTGTACAGGAAGTACATTAAAGCCAAGAGGAGGGTTCTTGCAGCTGTGATAGTGTTACAACGCTCTGTTAGGCGTTACCTCTCTCGTTTGAAATATACTAAGTTGGTCAATAAATCTGCTGTCACTATACAGTCGGCTTTTAGAGGATTCATTAGTCGGAGGGAACTTAGAATAAACGACAGCATGGAGCTAGCAGTTTTAAGTGATGGTACACTGACTGCTTCAGAGAGCAACTCTCCCGCTCGCTGCACCTCACCCCCTGTTGCTATGGACACTGATGCTATGGCGACAGTTACTATGGCGGCAGTTACTTTGAAAACCGAGCCAGTAGAGACTGTAGTATCTAGCGTTACCACCTCAAGTATCTCTTCTACTGTCTCTCCGTTAATCACAGCCACTCCTTCAGTAAAATGTACTAACACCATCAGTTCTTCTTTTCCTGTTACAACTAGTGTACCTCCTATACCAAACAGTAGCATCAGCTCCTTTGTATCAGCTAGTATATCACCTGTTTATTCAGCACCAGCAAACACTAATCCCATTAGCCCTTCTTTACCTGTTAGACCTCCTGCTCCTTTTACAGTAGACAGTAGTACCAGCTCTAGTCCACTAGCTGTTCCTGCTATGTCTCCAGTAGATGTTACTTCTAATGTCACTAGTTCCTCCATTCCTCTTAGTGTTAGTCTTTGTCGTTCATCTCTTTCTGATGTCACACCGTATACTGTCTCCTCTTTGCCAAAGTTTTACAGTTTTACAACATCCTCAGGTACTTTTACAGTACCTATTGATCATGATCATATATCAGTTGTCACGACACAGCTATCATCGCCTCACATTACCAGTACTTCATACAGCACTCCTCCCACTTGTGTGCTGTCTTTAAATGTGATGGCTTCAAACTCAGGAATATATGCTCTACCTACTCTAACTGTCATGGTTCCACCTCAAGGCAAAGTGTTGGTGAATACTCCAAAGTCTTTACAAAGCAATATTAGGAGAAAGTCAAAAGAGCCTTCACCGGAAAAATTTGACTTGCCTTACACAGTAAAGCAAGGGAAGCAAGCTTCATCAACGGAGTCTTCTGCTGATATTGGTATAAGGTATGTCACTAGGAGAGTCCGTGATGCTGTGAGAACAATTGAAAAATATTTTATAAGTTATAAGGAAGCTAAAGCTGTTAGGAGACAGTTCCTGGCCATGAGGAAAGCTGCTTCAGTTATACAGCGAAACTGGAGGGTCTGTAAACTGATAAGTAGATTAAAGAGGTTTATAGAAGAAAGGCAGGAAGAAATGGCCATGCAACGTGCAGCAGCTTTCACTAGAATGACTAGAAGTAAAACTAAAACCACTCCTTCAAATAGTAAGTACTGTCCTGGATGTAAGTCAAATTATTGTCAGGAGGAACAAATGAAGATATCTCTTGGTACCAAGCGCAGTAGAAGCAACACCAAATCACCAGAAAATAAAGAAATAGCTAGTGCCAATGAACCAGAGGTCAGGCATTCTAAATTAGCAGAATCAACTCGTAAAAGTCCACAATCAGTTAATTATCATCCAAAAAATAAGTATCAAAAATTGGCGAATGATAATCCGAAATCAGCTCATAATCAACCAAAATCATCTAATGATAATCCTAATAATCATCCACAATCAGCTAATAATCATCCACAATCAGCTAGTGATCATCAAAAATCATTTAGTGATCATCAAAAATCAGTTAGTGATCATCAAAAGTCAGCTAGTGATCATCAAAAATCAGCTAGTGATAATCAAAAATCAGTTAGTGATCATCAAAAATCAGTTAGTGATCATCAAGAATCAGCTAGTGATCATCAAGAATCAGCTAGTGATCATCAAGAATCAGCTAGTGATCATCAAGAATCAGCTAGCGATCATCAAGAATCAGCTAGCGATCATCAAAAATCAGCTAGTGATCATCAAAAATCAGTTAGTGATCATTCAAATTCAATACCTGATGCTGGAGTTGAAGTAGCTTCAGGTGATCAAGTAGAGCCAACAGCTGCTAAGAGTGTCCCTATTTCAAGTAGTGAGGACTCCACACTTGCTAATGACACTAAAGTATGTGAATCAGGAGTAGCCATTGCTGCAAAGGAGCCATTACTTGCAACTCCAGTTAGCTACAGTCTCTTAGGCTCAATGCAACACCAGCAGCAACCATTGACTACCAACTGGTCAAATGAGTCAAGCGCTAGTATTTCTTACTCTGCTCCTCCTCTCATTCCTTCCGGTCCTCGCAATCATAAACCAGTTTCATCATCTTTAGTCCCTTCTTTATGGCTTGGCCCTCCAAGTCATCATCACAACTATTCATTCTATCCACACCAGCATCTGTTCTTTCCTCCTCCTCCTCACCCCAGGAGACATGGTTCACCTCAGAGACTCCATATTTATCCTCATCGATATCATCACCACTATAGAGGCCTTCCTTATCCCAGCCCTCCTTCAGTCTATAGGGACTTTAGTGATCACAGAGGTGGTTTTCGCTCACCACCTCACTTTCACCCACCGTGGTATAAATAAGATCCTTAAGACTGGATATTATTAATAATAATTATTTTGATTTTTTCATTTACTATGATTTTATGCAGAAATTATCATAATTAGTCTAATTAATTTAGTGATCTAATTAATTATTCATTGGGTAGGCGTGGTTTGATTTGTTTGTCACGTGATCATTTGCAAAACAAAATGGCGGTCAGAGGACTCCTCTCCTCCAGTCGCTATATGAGGCCCTGGCGTAAGACTAAATGTTCATAATGTACTTAAAGCCTCTCTTATACTTTTAGATGGCTCTGTCTGTGCTCTACGACCTGTTAATACTACGAGCCAAGTGAAAAACGAGCTACAACCTCAACCTTCTTCATTCCCTGGTCAGTGTAGCAAGAAAGACTTGTGTTATTATTATTATAATAAAAGGTATCACAAGCCTATTGAAGGAGAAGACAGGAGAAACTGGAAAGCACATAGTCGGCATTGGTTTAGTAGCTACTTTGTATTCTAAAGAAATATTAGTATTTCACGCTGAGGTATTATTAATAATTAATTAACCGAGACCACACCCACCTCTGTTTTTAGACGCTAGTAGGAATCAGTGTTTTCGGTGTCATTTTTCTTTTAATGAGAAGAGTTGGTGGACAACTGAGGGAGTTCTTTGACAACAGAGCACAGGTAATGATAAACAAGTTGTTTGTTGTATTATTGTTGTTGTTGTTTAGGGTATTCTGGATGAGATGAATGCGGCTAAGAATGCTACCATCACTCAGTTGACTGATGAGATAGCATTTGCTAAAAATGTCGAGAAGGAACTGTCTATTCGTGATGACCTCTATGAGATATTAAGAGTAAGGAGAATATAACATTAATAATTATTAATATTTGGTTTTGAGTGCAATTTTAGCAAGCAACGTTCATGTAAAATATATTATTAATTAGTTTTATTATTGTTATTAACATTACTATTTTTATTATTATTTGTTTAGGAAGAGGCACTGATGAAGAGGGAGGAGATATACAGGGTCCAGCTGTCAGATATTAGGAAGGAGGTGATGAGGCGTCTGGAGTATCAGCTCCAACTTGAAAACCTTGAGAAAGAATATGAGAAGAAGCACCTTGTATCATGGCTACAGGAGAATGTATATAAGTCTCTTACTAGCAAACAAGTGAGGGAGAGAGAAGATCAGTAATTATTTTAGTTGTTTTTATGATAGGATGATAATATTGCTCAGTGTATTGGCTCTCTAAAGAAGCTCACAGCTGCTGCTTAGTTTGAATAGGATTAAGGAACAGTTTTAGTATTTATGTGGATATCAATAGTAGACCTTTGAATTATTGTTTAAAAATAATGTTACAAGAGAAGACAATTGTGTCACCGTGGGGTGCCTTTTTTCCAGGGCTATAGCATAGCTATAGATCTGATGAAAATAGGTATAGACCTGCAAAAGAAATAAAAACAAACTATTGCTAGGGCGACATTGAATCTTACATTCAATGTCGCCCTAGCAACGGTATTAAATTACATGTATGTATATTTGCAGTTGGGAATTGTTTATATTTCATGTAGTATACATATATTATCTGTGGAATTGGCCACACCATTAACACACCCCCAACTACTTAACCAAACTGCTCGTGACTTCCTTTCATTCCTTTACAAACAAGATAGATCAAGAAAATGAACTGTAAACTCTTCTTGTTGGCAGCAGCTGGTCTCCTGTGCGTCTCTGTGGCTCAGTATTGTACTGAACCACCTTATAAAACCAGACCTAACTTCACGCCAGCATACTGGTAAGGAACATAATAGCGTATTGATCGTCAAACTATTCATTAATATGTAGCAATTATAGACTAAGTTTTAAAGATAGAGTAAAAGGTAAGTTTATGTGTATATAATGTATAATCTTATTCATTTATTTATTTCAAAGATTTATTAAGTCGGTTAACATTAGAAGAAAAGATATCTCAACTTGGTAACAGTGCATCTGCTATTGACAGACTCGGTATACCTGGATACCAATGGTAGGAGTAGGAGCTGTTGTTGTTTATTCTTGTTTATTGTTGTTTGTTGTTAGGTGGTCTGAAGGTCTTCATGGTGTGGCTGTTTCTCCTGGTCTTCACTTAGGAGGGAACGTGAGTTTAAATAAAATAAATATTATCATAACCTCCTCTTTCTCCCTCAGTTAACCTGTACGACCTCATTTCCTCAAATAATCACAACTGCTTCATCATTCAACAAGTATCTATTCATTATTATTATTATTATTATTATTATTATTATTATTATCATCATTTAGATCGTTGTTTTATGAAATCGGAGAAGCTGTTTCAACAGAAGCCAGAGGTTTTGCTGATAATGGTCAGGGTGGACTGACCTATTTCACACCAAACATCAATATAGTCAGGTAATTAACTAGTAGTTATTAATCAATAGTTAATAATAGTTATTAATGAGTGGTTATTAATGGTTATTGATATTAGGGATCCTCGTTGGGGTAGAGGACAAGAGACAGCAGGAGAAGGTAGTTATTGATGTATTATTTAACTATTATTAATAGTTAATTAACAGATCCTTATCTGACGTCTCAATATGCAGTCAACCTGGTCAGAGGAGCACAAGGGAATGACTCAGAGTTAGTTTGTTGTTTGTTTGTTGTTGTTTATTGTTGTTCTTTTGTTAGGTATAAGAAAATAATTGCAACTTGTAAACATTTCGCAGCATACGGTTAGTCTTTATTATTGTTATTATTATTATTGTTGTTGTTGTTGTTGTTGTTATCATTTAACTTATCGTAGATCTTGAGTCTTACATTAATGGTGATGTTCGGGACTCATTTAATGCTGAAGTAACCAAACAGGATCTTGAAGAGGTGAAGGGAGAGAGAGAGAGAGTCTTTATTTATTTATTTATTTATTCCCTTTTTTCCTTCCCCTCATTCTCTATTTTTCAGACCTACTTTCCAGCGTTCAGGTCCTGCGTCACTGCTGGAGGGGTTGGTAGCATCATGTGTAGTTATAATTCAGTCAATGGCGTACCCTCTTGTGTGGATGGTGTCTTTAATAACAAGATTGCAAGGAACAAATGGAAATTTGATGGATATTTAGTAATACGTTAATTAATTAGTTATAATATTAATTAATAATTAATTAATAGGTTAGTGATTGTGGAGCTATTGATGACGTCATGAACAAACACCAGTAATTAACTTAATTAATTAATTAATTAATTTATTTATTTATTTATTATTATTATTAGTTATACCAGTACTCCGACCGATACAGTGGCCGCTGGTCTAAAAGGAGGCACTGACCTCAACTGTGGCTCCTTCTATCAGACACACGCCATGGTTAGTCGGTCGCTATAGTAACTCATTGCTATGGTAACTCGTTTATAGGATGCATTTTTAAATGGTAGCATTACTGAAGTTGACATTGATAGAGCAGTGGGGAGGCTGTTTACAGCAAGGTACATTAATATTCATATTATTTATATATTAATTATTGTTATTATTATTAATTATTAATAGGATGAGGTTAGGGTTATTCGATCTTCCTAAATATCAGCCATATTCATACTTCAATACTGATGTAGTCAACACAAAACAGCACCAGGTAATGATAATAATAATGTCCTTTGTCTTATCTTTTGTCTTTTTATGTTTGGTTTCTCTTATTTCTTGTTTTGTCCTTAGTGTATTGTATTGTGTATGCCTTGTGTTGTATAATAATAATAATAATAATAATAATAATGATAATAATAATGATGATAATAATAATAATAATGATAATAATAATAATAATGATAATAATAACTATTACCCTTCCTGCCTCTCTCACAGGACCTTGCTTTACAAGCTGCAAGGGAAAGCATTGTTCTATTACAGAATAATGGTAACCATGGTAATGTGTATGAGTGTTTAATTTTGATTGGTTGATTAGGTAAACTGCCGTTAAGTTATGAAGACCATCATAAGATAGCAGTGGTTGGTCCTAATATACTGGCTAATGTGACAATGCAAGGAATATCTCAAGTAAATATTTATTCTAAACGATAGACCATAATTATATATAGAAGTAACTTGTGGTAATAACTTTAGATCCTTATTTCATTCATTGCTGACATTTAATGAATTTATATTCCCAAAGGTTATAGCTCCATATCTCATATCACCAGTGGATGGTTTTAAGAGTAAAGGACTACACGTTACTTACTCTCTCGGCTGTGATGTGAAATGCATTGTTACTGACGGGTTTCACGATGCTTTTAAACTTGTTAAAGATGCCAAAGCTGTAGTTGCTGTGATGGGTCTAGACCAAGGAATTGAGAGGTTATTTATTAATTAATTAATTTGTTTATTTGTTTGTTGTCTTGTTTTTTTTCCAGGGAGACTGTTGACAGAGAGGATATATTCCTCCCTGGGCTGCAGGATAAGTTCCTGTTAGGATTGAGGGACACGTTGACTAACCTTCAATCGCCAGTTCCACTGATAGTCGTGATAATGTCCGGATCATCCGTAGACCTCAGCGAATCTAAGGTAAGTAAGGATTACCCCAAATTTTTATTACATTTTCTGATACATATTGATGTCCTTATGCTGTGTAAAAAGTTTGAGATGATTCCGACTTCAATCTTTCAAGTTACAGCCATTTTAAGAAAACGTCAAAAATCTGAAAAATACCCAAGGCTATAGTCCATGGTTTTTTCCAAAAAATGGCTCCGAAATCAACCCAAATTTTATTACATTTTCTGATACATATTGATGCCCTTATGCTGTGTAGAAAGTTTGAGATGATTCCGACTTCAATTTTTCAAGTTACAGCCATTTTAAGAAAACGTCAAAAATCTAAAAAATACCCAAGGCTATACCCAAGGCTATAGCCTTGGGTATTTTTCAGATTTTTGGCGTAGCAAGTTTGAGTTGATTCCGACTTTAATTTTTTAAGTTAGGGCCATTTTTAAAAATTATGAAAAATAGCCTATCAAATATCAATGAGTATTAAAATATGTTAATTCATTTATTTTTATTATATTTTTTATTTTTAGAGTTTAGCTGATGCTATACTGTGGGTTGGGTATCCTGGTCAATCCGGAGGTCAAGCTATTGCTGAAGTAATATACGGAGAAGTGAATCCATCAGGACGACTGCCTCTTACATTTGTAAGAGAAGAATCCCCTTACAATAATTATTTATATAATTTCTTTTTGTCTCTCTTTTGGCCCCTCCCACAGTATCCTGGTGAATACATTGATTTAGTTGCCTATAGGCACATGTCAATGAGGGAACCGCCTGGTCGTACGTACAGGTTCTATACTGAGAACCCTGTGTTTCCCTTCGGACATGGTCTCAGCTATACCACTTTTGAATTGAGCTGGTACATAATTATGATAATTATTTATTAGTTTTTTGATTAATTGTAGGACTAATAAAATGAATAATGTTACAGAAATCGTAATCAGTGATTCTGTTGATATTAACATTGATTTTGATATCACTGTCGTTAACACTGGTTACTTGTCTGGGGCTGTATCTGTACTTGGATATGTATCATCTAATGTAAGATAACACTGATATATTAACACTGATATATTAACACTGATATATTAACACTGATATTAACACTGATATATTAACACTGATATATTAACACTGATATATTAGCACTGATATTTCTTTTATAGATTCCTGATGCTCCTTTAAGAGAATTATTTGATTTTGATAAAGTATTTATTGATAAATATGAGTCAAAAAAGATTTCTCTTTTCGCTACAAATGATGCTTTTACCACCGTTGATGAAAAGGTGACTTTATCATGTACATGTACATGTGTATAGTAAGTAATTAAATATAATAATTCATTTTAGGGTCGAAGGAATATTTTACCTGGTGAATACGACATAGCAATTGAAAATCTCTCTCACAAAATAATAATAAAAAATAATTAAAAACGTTGTGACGTATCTAATTTTTTCTATTTTTTAATGAAGTTGTTTTTTATTATTTAATGTGTTTTTTTATCATTGGTTCAATGCTGCCATTTTGTTTAGTTTGAGTATGCGCACTAGACTTTGCTGCCAAACGGCGCGTGAGTGGGCGTTACTTCAAGCCACACCCAAAATGAGGTAAATAATGAACTTTGGTTAAAAATCACTCTATTTTCTTACAGATATTTGTCTAAACTATTCTCCACTTCTCTCTCCTTATTATATAAAAGTATATCCACTCTTTCCTCTCGTTCCCTCATTGAGTTGCAAGGGCCTGACAGTCGGTCCTTCATTAATGGACTCACAACTTGTAATGCCTTACAGTCACTGGAGGGGAGGGCCCAGTATAGTGGACTACTCAATAGCAATGGACGCATACTTTATGACGTCATTATTTATCACATGTCACATGACAGGCTGTGGGTGGAGTCAGATACGAGAGCTGTCGATGATGTCATTAAACATTTTACTAAATATAGATTAAGGTCAAAGGTAAATGGGTGTGGCTATTGATTATACTAATGAATAATTAATTAGGTTGATTTTACGAAATTGAGAGACGTTAGTGTCTGCTTTAAATCACCAAACGAAAATAATAATAATAATAATAATGTATTAATCAGCGTAGCTGATCCAAGAACAAGGTAATAATAATTAATTAATTATATGCTCCACCCACTTTATTCTAGTGCTCTATTTGATCGTGTATTAATAAATAATAATAATAATAATGATAATAATGGGGAGGAGGTGTATCTGTTGCATAGACTGCAGTGTGGAGTACCTGAAGGAATTGATGAATTTTTAATTAACAAAACACTACCATTGGAAATGAACATGGACTATATGAATGGAGGTAATTATTTATTCATTAATTATCAATTATTATTATTATTATTATTATTATTATTATTATTATTATTATTATTATTATTATTAGTCAGCTTTGATAAAGGTTGCTACTTGGGACAAGAGTTAACTTCTCGTACTCATTTCAGAGGAATTGTCAGAAAGAGAATATTACCAGTAACAATGGATGAGGAAGTTGAACAGTAATATATAAAGATAAGACACTTTTATGAATGTTTATGCTTCTTATGATAGTGGCCTGTTGTCATGGGGCAATGAAATCACTAATTCTGATGGAAAGAAAATTGGAAAAATAATAAAATGGAAGAAAAAATACGCAATTGCTTTGCTGCAATTACCATTATTGTATGTAATAATGATAATAATAATTAGTATTATTATTATTTATTTATTTATTTGTAGAGTTGAAGGTAAGAAGATAGTGATAAAGACAAATGAAGAAGGTCGTGTTGTTGAAGGGGACTGGAGAAGACCGGAATGGTGGCCGTCAGAAGAATGAACATTTTTGCATTATTTTATACATTTCCTGTTGATTATGTTTAGTGTTAAAATAAAACAACACCTTTACAGTTCCTCCTTGCCCTCCCTCTCTCTCCACAGCTAGCCAGCATTATGATGATATCTGCAGGAAGCCTTAGGTTGCCAAAGATACTCCATCCAGTCTACAAGCACTCAGCACAGTGCAGCAATACTGAAGAGCTGGAGCTTAGGGGAAGTACACTGGTAGCTCCAAGGACATCTCAGTCAGTAGCTGAACAAGTAAAACCAGGCAATATCACGAGGCCACACTCAATACTAGGTAAGAGGGACATAGTGTGATTGATGCTGCATATGAAACCATACTTGTGCAGTATCAAGACCTACTACAGTGCCTAGGATCCAGAAACACAGGCCACCTTCATCTACACTCAATCCTAACCAAGTATGCATCCATTAATAAGTTGCATTCATAAGTCACCATTATACATTACAGCTAATGGATGTAGTGTCAGATAAACTGAAAGGGAATGGATTCTTTATAATGAGGAACACTTTCAATGCATTTGATCCAGACAATAAAGGAACTGTAACAAGAGAAGCACTGTACAGGATACTATGCAATCTATTGGGAGGAATATCCCAATACCAATACCAAAGATTATTGGAAAAGTATGCAAAGAATTCTTAACTTTGATCAATAATACCTATAATCAGAACAGAAATATAGAGATAGTTATAATAATAATTATCTTATCACTAGGATAAGGCTTGCTGACAAAAAGGTGATATCTTTTAATGAGTTCTACAGCAGATTCCGTGTGATTCCATCAAGAGAGCCTCACTGGCTGGACAGAGTAACACACCATGGGCCGAGATACATATCAGCAGAATATGTACACTCAATGCTTGTTGCAAGAGCTAAACAATGGTACACTGTAATGATTATTATATTTTAGTTTTGTCTTTAGTGTCCATAATTTATCTGATTTCTTGCCAAAATGGAAAGGGCTGCAAGGGCAGTTAGACGTAGCAGATTTTAGGAATATTCTAAATTCATTGTCACTGGGACTGAACAATGAACAGTACAAGAAACTGTGGAGCAAGTAATGTTAATAAAAATACACGAAATAGTTAAAATGAGTCAATAATAAAGATATGATCCTGGAGCTAAAGGATATGTCAGTGGAGAAGAACTGCTGTCAAAGTTAGGAGTTAAGACTCTAGAGCAAGCAACAAATAAAGGTAAATAAATAATAAATAAATAAATGAAATAATAGTAAGAATGATGATAGGTGTAGTAATGAGAGGTAAAGGTATCAACAGTAAAGAAGATGGAGCTGGTAAGACTAATGGTGACTCACCAGTTCCTTCAGTGACACTAGAGACCACGCTAAGTGATAAAATTAATTCACTTCACAACGAATTCATTAAAAAAGATACTACCAGCTCTGGAAAGGTCTAGCAATTAGAACATTAATTTATTTGTCTGTTACTAAAAATAGGTCAATGGTGATGCTGTTCATGGGTGTCTACAGCACATTGGGATATTAATAACTCGAGATCAGTGTTACCACATGTTGAATAGACTGGGGTATAATCCAGAGAGACCAATTAATTATAATTCATTAATTAAAACCCTATCCACTCATTCCATTATTGGCCTCACTCATGCTGTACTTACAGACACAACACAAAGGCAAGTACAAATGAAAAATTTACTTTATATTTTCTGACACTTATAACTCATAAAAATTAACTCAACATGTATCTGGAAAATATTAAAAATTATGGATCTCATTCAAAGCTGACTTTGGAAAAACCATGGGCTATTATAGTCCATGTCTTTTAAGCATTTTCTTAAAATGGCCGTAACTAGAAAATTGAAGTTGGAATCACTTCAAACTTTCTACACAGCATAAGGGCATCAATATGTATCAGAAAATGTAATAAAAATTTGGGTTGATTTCGGAGCCATTTTTTGAAAAAAACCATGGGTTATAATAGCCTTGGGTATTTTTCAGATTTTTGACATTTTTAAAAAATGGCCGTAACTTGAAAAATTGAAGTCGGAACCAGCTCAAACTTTCTACACAGCATAAGAGCATCAATATGTATCAGAAAACGTAATAAAAATTTGGGGTGATTTCGGAGCCATTTTTTGAAAAAAACCATGGGCTATAGCCTTGGATATTTTTCAGATTTTTGACATTTTTTTAAATGGCCGTAACTTGAAAAATTGAAGTCGGAATCACCTCAAACTTTCTACACAGCATAAGGGCATCAATATGTATCAGAAAATGTAATAAAAATTTGGGGTGATTTCGGAGCCATTTTTTGGAAAAAACCATGGACTATAGTCTTGGGTATTTTTCAGATTTTTGACGTTTTTTAAAAATGGCCGTAACTTGAAAAATTGAAGTCGGAATCACCTCAAACTTTCTACACAGCATAAGTACATCAATATGTATTGAAAAATGCAATAAAAATTTGGGGTGATTTCGGAGCCATTTTTTGAAAAAAACCATCGGCTAGAAGTCTGCTACTTTTAAAAATGGCTATTTCCTCTTTCTATTAGGTTCAGAGCCAGCAGTCCCAGACACGCTTGTGTGTCCACACCTGATGCTGAAGCTACTTTAGTCTGCAAACTACACAATGACTTACTGAAACTTGTATCAAAACTAAAGTACACTATAATAATGACACAATGATATACTTATCATCACATGCAGGGCACATGATCCTAAAGGAACAGGACTGATATCAAAAGATATCTTCATCAATATTGTTAAAGGTTTCTTGCCAGAGGACTCGTTGGGATCCCTGGAGTCTCTCATTGTCAATAAGCTTTTAGCCGATGATGAAGTGGAGCAGGAGAGGGAGGGAGGAGAGCAGCTGGTGATGTATACTAAATTCATGTCACTTTTTGATAAAATGACAAAACCAGCTGTGAAGCAGCTGCAATTAAAAGAGGAGGGCAGTCTGGCAGCTGGAGAGGAAAGAGGAGAGTCCAGCAATAAAACCGATACCAACATTAAAGAAGTTAATATCAATCACCTTAAGCATCATTTTACATACAACATTCATATACTGTATAATAGGTACGAGACAAGCTAATCAAATACTGTCGTACAGCACCTGGTACTGTAATGAACGCTTATGAAATACTGGATCCTAAAAACACTAACAGGATATCACAAGAATTATTCCAACAGATAATGTTCAGGTAAACAACAACATAAACAACAACTAATCAATTGATAAACACGTAGTGATTCCAAATACTGTGTGTTATGATAATGATCAATAGGTTAGGGCTAAGTGCTGATGGAGATGTTACTAACGCTCTCTGGAGTGAAGTGTTGAAAAATAAAGATGGAACGATCCACCCACACGAACTGATAAGACACTTTGATAAGAGACAGAATAAGCAAACTGGTACAGACCCTATTAATTAATATTAATTAATTATAATTATTAGATGTCACTCCAGTTTGGCTCAGAGGTGATGACAGTCACTACGTTCGATCAAAGTATTTGGACAGAGACATAGACATTGTCATGAAGAGTTTAAACACTATGGTAACCAACAACTATAATAACAATTCTGATCAAAATTGGACTTTTTACAAATTTTTAAAATGCTCCAAAATTGGGCCAAAGCATGGTCTTGGGCCCAATTTTGCCAAAAATTAAAAGGAGAGAAAATCTCCATTTTATATACTAATATTAATCTTTTTCTCTAGTTGTCATTGTATCAAAAACCAATCAGATCATATTTCATATGCAACGACCCAAGTGGGACTGGTCTGGTAACTAGTGAGATATTCCAACAGCTGGTACTTTCGCTCTGCCCCCAACTGAGCCAAGAAGAACTGCTGCACATCACTAAGAAATTTCAAGACTCGGCAAACATGATTAATTACACGGCTTTATTAAAGGGGCTCCCCTCTATACAACCGGTTTATAAAACTGGTAATGATCTTGCTACACTCCTGTCTCATTCGCCAGCTCCAACCGTCAACCTACCCTTCTTGTCACTCCCAATAACCTCGCCACCACAACACGGACTGCCAGGAGTGAAAGTGAAGCTACAAAGAAAAGTAAGTATAAGTTCACTTTACTCTAATTCATTAAACATCTAGTTATTGGAGAAATGGTCGGAATTCAAGCGTAACTTAGTCAAAATGGACCCTCTTGGCACAGGGCATGTAAACGTGAAAGAATTCCGCCAAATTCTGAGCAATTTCAACATCAGTCTCTCCCGGGAAGACATGTACTACATACTACAGGAACTGGACCCACTGCTGACTGGGAAGATTAACTATGCCATGTTCTTACAACTGTTGCTAGGGAGACAGTGAAAATGATGATGTAATGATGATGACACAAAATTGAACAAACACATTATGGTGTACATGTAACAAAAATAGAACACACAAATTTCAATAATCCCTTGATTAGAATAATAATAATAATAATAATAATAAGTGAATTGGTTATTGATTATGCGTAATGGGTGTGGTCTATCAAGTTTCGTTTATAGTTTTCGATATTTTGCTAGGGGTGTGGCTGTCACTGTCGTCATGGCTACCAGGTCTCTTTAAACTAACACACTTACTGAGCTCTTCAGTTTGTTCTTCTTTCTTTCCTTTTCCTTTCTCTCCTTCTCCTTTCTTTCCTTCTTGCTCTTCATTATTTAAAGATGGCGGTGAGCTATTCCTCCATATTGCTCCATCAAATAAATGAATTCTTGGCTGTGGAGATTTTATTTCCGTAGTTTCTAATTAAAGAGCATCTTACGACTACACCCACATTATTTCTTACCAATAGACTCTGTCACTCCTATTGACTCCGCCCAGTCTGACCCCAACCGCCTACACAACTCCGTTACTATGGTATTACTGTATCCTAGCAACCGTACGTCAAACCCCTGTATGTATTGCAATGGCTCGCGGTTGATAAGGACCCGTGGGACATCAGGGGGCAGTAATTCTGGTGGGTGTGGTCAATAATAATGAATATTAATAAGTACTACCTGGTATTAAAGAGACTGGACGGACTTTAAGAGAAGAACCAATGACAATAAGAAGATCAACCTAAACAACAAATAGAACAACAACAAACAATGCAATAAACAACAAGTAGAACAACAACAAACAATGCAATAAACAACAAGTAGAACAACAACAAACAGTGCAATAAACAACAAGTAGAACAACAACAAACAATGTAATAAACAACAAGTAGAACAACAACAAACAATGTAATAAACAACAAGTAGAACAACAACAAACAGTGCAATAAACAACAAGTAGAACAACAACAAACAATGTAATAAACAACAAGTAGAACAACAACAAACAATGTAATAAACAACAAGTAGAACAACAACAAACAGTGCAATAAACAACAAGTAGAACAACAACAAACAATGTAATAAACAACAAGTAGAACAACAACAAACAATGTAATAAACAACAAGTAGAACAACAACAAACAGTGCAATAAACAACAAGTAGAACAACAACAAACAATGCAATAAACAACAAGTAGAACAACAACAAACAATGTAATAAACAACAAGTAGAACAACAACAAACAATGTAATAAACAACAAGTAGAACAACAACAAACAGTGCAATAAACAACAAGTAGAACAACAACAAACAATGTAATAAACAACAAGTAGAACAACAACAAACAATGTAATAAACAACAAGTAGAACAACAACAAACAATGCAATAAACAACAAGTAGAACAACAACAAACAATGTAATAAACAACAAGTAGAACAACAACAAACAGTGCAATAAACAACAAGTAGAACAACAACAAACAGAGCAATAAACAACAAGTAGAACAACAACAAACAGAGCAATAAACAACAAGTAGAACAACAACAAACAGAGCAATAAACAACAAGTAGAACAACAATCATAGCAACAATATACCTCTGTCTTGTCTTGTTGCAGCTGATCATGAAAAGACTCGGGTAGTCCTTCACCAAAGAAGACAATATCTGGTTTCATTATCCCAACTCCATCTTCTTCCTCCTCTTCTCCCTCCGTCTCTTTAGCATTAGCAGGACACACTGGACAATATGGAATCATCTAAAGAGATACAAGCAATGCAGCACTCTCATGGTATATCTTCCATCAAATTACTTCATTCATAATCTCCTCCTTTATTTGTCCGATTTCAATTTTATGCTTACATTTAGTGCAGGAAGCAGTAGAGAACGACCCTACAAACCCACAAGTCATTATACACTCCCCACCCTCCTGTTTCGTTACCATGGCAATATATGACCCTCTTAATCTCAGCACTCTCCTCTAGGGTGTCAATGTTTTGGGTGTAGTTTCTGAGTAGCTTCCCTCGTTCCTCCAAGAGTTTGACGAACCTGTGAGAAGGGGAAGGCTTGTACGTCCCTGGGTATATCTCCTAATGAAGAGATGAAGTAATCAAATGCCGCACAGCTGGAATCTTTTCAAGGATTACACTTCTCTGGATCAACCAAAACTTATCATTTTCATTTCACAAATCTTAAAATTGTGGATGCATAAAGGTTAATCTCTTTGTAAGTCCCCATATTTATATATAAGGTAAACTCACCTTTGCAAAAGAGAAGAAAGGTCTTGGGTCAACTTTAAAGAACTGAATATCAAACATGGCCTGAGGGTCGGGGAGCTCAGGGTATTTGACTGCCAGCTGTGAGTAGAGTCCCTCGGGGGACCTAAAGTCCGGGATACCACAAGAAACTGATATCTAACAATGATTATAAGTACGAGTAACCATGGTAACTGGACTTACCCCTGCTCCTGAGAGGACTATTATATTTTTACTTTTTTGAATTAACGAGACGACATCATCAATTTTCGTCACATGATCTAGGAGCTCTCGTGCTGGTGGACGGAGCATTAGCTCAATGACTGCCTCCCACAATGTGACATCATCAGTACCCTGAGGCTATTAATTAATAATTATTAATACTAAGTAGTTATTAATTTATTTATTTACAATTTGAAACGAGGAGCCCATTAATTCCCTGAGCACAGTCTCTGGTCTGATCCCTAGTTCTATGTTGTGTCTAATCCAATCCAGTGGTCCTAGAGGTGATCCTTCACCAGATACTAAAACTACCAATAACTATTATACATTACGTATCTGAGCCTTACACTCGCTACTGGATGAGTCATCAGCTTCATTTCTTGCTGTATCTTCTGCTATTTCTCTTCCTTCTCTCTCTCCTTCGTCTTTTTTTGTCTCCAAAGATACTACATTCTCAGCCGCCATTTTGAAACAGTGAGTAATTAATTGATAGTTATTAAGTATTTATTATTAAAATCAAATAACTTTTAATAACTAGTTCTAGTAGTCATGTAACTCATGTTTACAGTATTACAATAATTATAAATTATAGTGTTTCTTTCTGTTGCTGTTTTATGTTTACTGGTGTAGGTATGTATTGTTTATTAAGCATCTTCATAGTCCTCTTTCCTGCGAAAGCAAGGCCAGAACATGAGTGATGTCCACTAGAAAAGAATAAACAATCAATAGTTTGTCATACAGCTCCTTAAATGCACTACAAAGCCCTTACATAAAGCAACAAGGCAATGCCAGCACCAACAAACATCACAATAATCTCATATTCGTCTTTGTGCAGAGTCTCCTCCTGGTCTGCCTCCCACCTGATCCTGATAAAGTAGCCATAAGTAAACATGATGGCTCCTCCAGATGCAAAAAAGAAGGACTGGAAGAACATTATCTATCATTAAATTGTTAAGGAACTACCTTGAGTTACCATAACAACCTTTGATCAACGGATACCATAGCAATGCTGTCTATCATGCAATACATGAAGTACATGAGAGGGGAAGTGTTTTTAAACTTTATACTATTCAACAATCATATTTACACCGTGACATGTTTACTACTGGCAAGAAATATACTTAACAAGTGACGTGAGGATACAAGGAATATAGTGAGTGGATTGCCACAGAATAAGTGAGTGATGGTAACAGCATAAAGAAGGAGTGAGGCCACTCCAAAGCACCACTCAGGAAAGTATTCTATCCCAGTAGCTGGAGAATCGGTGGTATCCTGCAACCTGTAGGGATGAACATGGTATTAATTTGATATAGTACGGGGGGGGGATTAATACAATTGTTATGGTAATGAGTCTTTATATGGTGTTTCAATGTTTCCATACACAATGATATGTTTATACAATTCATTTTTATCATGCATATCAGGTTACTAATGCAACAGTAACCGATCTCCATATACAGCAATTTAGTCAAGTGTGCTAAAGAGCTAACAGTAAAGTGAAGGACGGGACGACCATGCTGGGATCATGTGATTGCATATTTCAAGGCTTACCTAAAGTTTAAGATACCGAAACCAACAGCAAAAGTGACCCATCCTATAGCTGATAGGAGTACAAATGGCAGGGCCAACTGCAGAGACAAGAAGTGACCTTAGAATGGCAGCAGTACAGATCTTACCTTCCTTGCAAGGCCGTCCAACATGATTGTAAGAGGCAATAAAAGAGACGAGTGGAGACTGAAGCTTGCTTTATAGAGAGAGAGAAATCCTCTAGCTAACTTTCAAGCGATGCTGCCCGTGTATGTGTGGGTGTAACTGCAATGTGTGGTCTGAAACAAGCCAACAGACTATGAATATTAACTAATTTATTGACTTGTTACTAAAAATAGAACTAATGTTTGCATTACATGATAACTAAACTACTATTTTCTGTATGACTGAGACTCTGTATGCATAATGTCAGAGGACAGGTAGTACATGATTACAACATATAGAGACAGAGACACAAATAATTGTTCCTTTTTAATAATCGTAGTATCCTTTAGCTTTCTTTTTAGCAAAACAAGGCCAGAACATCATAGAAAACCACTGCAAATGAGAAATAACAGAATTCACATGCACACACACACAATAATATGAGAACTGACATAAAATAGAACGGCAATTGCAGCTCCGATAAACTCTGTCATTATCCAGTAATTATCAGATCCAACTCCTTGATGAGTTTCATCTTCTATCGACTTTGCAAGCTCCATCCCATTAACATAGAGGACACCACCAGCTGGTATCAAATATACCGCAGTAAAGAATATTGTCTAAAAGAGGGATTATTTCCAGGTCTTTTTTAAAATTTACATCATGCACTGGTAGCTATATATGCACTGATGATGTGTCACTCTCATACCCATATTAATTTTTTCACATAAACAGCGATAAGCTGTCAAATATTCATTCTCTATGTGCATTTTGAAAGCTTGAAAAGATGAATGAAATCATTTTGTTTGCAAACACTCCAACTATTCATGGTGTACAACTCACCAGATAATGTGTGAATGTCACATTGAAGTAGAGATGAAAGAAATAAGCAATGTACAGGAATGGAGCAGACACTGCGAAACACCAATAGGGAAAGTGATCTTCATTCACTGGATTTGATATGGAGCTCCCTTCTTTCCCATATCTATTTTTAAAATTATAATAAACTGATTTTGCTGCAGATCTAGTTTTGCATACTCATGGAATCTCAGGCCAAATCCGACCACAAAAGCAGCCCAGCCAATTATAGAGAATATAGCAATAAGTAAAGAGATCTATAAAAATTAAAATAAGTTAGAGCATCAATTTAAAAAATATTCTTTACTTTTCTAGCAAGACCATCCAGCACCATCTTTGCAGCAGCTTTCCCAGACTGAGCTTCTGCGCATGCGTGGAAAAACTAGCCACACCTTTAAAAGATTAAAAAGAGGTGTGGTCAAAACAGTAAAACCACACCTTAAAGGTGTGGCCAGTCACACCTTATACTTGCTGGCATAATTAATGTTCCCTTTCTTTCTCTACGGTCTCTGCCCTTGAACGTCTTTATTGTGCCCTTGTTCATTAACAGAGGCTCCTTCCATTAGAAGGATATAAGGAAAAGATATCCTGTTACTGGTAGAGGAGAGAATCACTCGTCATTATGTAAGTCATGATAATTATAATAATGAATATTATTTGATTGATACTATTAGTATTATATTGAGTTACAATACAAATCGAATTCATTTACTCATGTATACGTGTTACATATTACTATTATCATTATTATTATTGTTATCATTATTATTATTATCGTTATTATCTTATTATTATTATTATTTTATTATCAATATTTATTATTATTTGTTTATTTATTTAAGTGGATTTTGTTGTTGAAATGGTCTATATATCACGTACAATTCCCTCCATCTCTCCAGCAGTTACAATGAATGAAGATAGATTCGAAGATGGTGATTTCCTGGCAGCCATCGAGAGGTTCACAGAGGCTATAACTCTCAACAGAAATAACTTCCAGCTGTTCTGTCAGCGCTCAGCTGCTTACGCTCGTATAGGAAGACACAATGAGGCACTGGAGGACGCCAAGAGGTGCCATGAACTAAAACCAGACTATGCCAAAGTATATACTAGTACTGTGCTAATGTAATACTTGTGTGTATAAATAAGTGTATAGACTAGCCTCTCTATATAATGGACACTGTGTCTCTGTTATACAGAGGTGTCCTTTATGTGGAGGTTATTTTATACAGTAAAGAATGTAATTGGTACACTAGGTGCTGTCAGTTAAATGGAGGTGTACGCTATAGAGAGTGTCCATTAAGAGAGGCTATACTGTATACATGTACATTAGTAATTTATTACAGTAATACAATACATGTACATGTACATGTACATGTGTGTGTGTGTGTGTGTGTGTGTGTATATTTATTCTTACCATATATAGTAATGTTTTTGTTTTGCTTGTTAATTTGACATGTTCTCTTATAATGTCAGTATATTATTAGTATATTATTAGCATATTATTAGTATACCTCATTAACATGAGTATGATACAGCTATTTACAATGTTAATGTATAAACACATCAAAAGGTAATTACTAATCCCATTCCTTATTAGGCGTATCACAGGATGGGTGTGGCATATCAAGGCCTGGGTCAGTATGATGAATCTCTAGTCTCGTTCTCCGAAGGACTGGCCATAGACCCCAAACTGTCCTCTGCTCTTGTGGGACTCATAGACTCCATGTTGAAGTCTCCATATAAAGGTGAGCTTTAGGATCGGAATCTTGTGTAGGGAATGTTCTGTTTAGCTGGAAACTTTCAAGGGACTTAAGTTTCACTGATTTCATGAATTTATGAAATTAAGATTTGCGAAAAAGCACTACAAGATGGCTGAATATGAAAATGACATGTATAAATCAATGTTTAATCCCTTGAAAGTTTCCTCCAGTGAAGTATTTGATGAATTTGCTGATAGTGTGTGTGTTTCTCCAGTTTTTGTTTAGTCTAGTACAAAATGTAAATCAATATCTTTCATCTTTAAATAACTTTCTTACTCTTTTGCAGGCAATTTTCAGCAGAAATTAGAGAAACTACCAACCAAAGTCCATCACAATCCGTTCATAATGACGTCAGCTGTGGGGCAGGAGCTATCCTCCGCTGGTAAATACAGTGCAGCTGTCAAAGTGTTGGAAGCTGCTCGTAACATAGGGACTGAGAGCCCTCGACTCCAATCATCTTTATTACAAGCACTTGGTATGTCACTGATACTTTATATGAACTGGTCTTCTATACACAACATGAGTACATGTACATGTACATGTATATGAAAATGAAAATGTAGTAAAAATTTAAAATTCTCTTCTTTTAATTTTTGGCAAAAATGACTTTTAATTTTATCTTTCAACAGGACAGGTGTATTGGATCCTAGAGGACACCGATAAGTCTCTGGAGTACATGCTCTCGACACTTAAACTGGCAGAGTCAATGGGAGACGATACTGCGACCATCAGAGCCCATGACAACCTCGGGGTGGCTCTCTCCTCTGTGGGCCGTCATGATGAAGCCATCAAGCACCACTCTCAGCAGCTGGCCTTGACTCAAGCTCGTAACGCTCCTTATGAAATACTCAACTCATTCATGAGAATTGGGAGCACTTTCAGTAAAATTGGCAGCCACTCGGAGGCACTGGGTGCCTTTAAAGAAGCTTTTGTGATTAGTAAAGAACTCAGTGACGAGGACCTCATATCACAAACCATCACTAGTATTGCTGATACTTACCTCATCCTTGGTGACATTGACCCCGCCATTGGCTGGTACCACGAACAGCTCAAGTTTGCTAAAGAGTTGAAGAATAAGCCAAAGGAAGCTGAGGCGTATTCTCACTTAGGACACAGCTGCTACTTAAAGGGGAACTACGAACAGTCCATGATGTATTACCAACAGTTACTGACAGTGGCTGTACATACGAATGACCTAAAGATAAAAGCTGAAGCTTATGGTGGGATGGGTCAGGCAAGTCGAGCCATGAATTCATTGAATCACGCTCTGAGCTGCCGGGAACAGCAACTTAAAATAAGCGAAGAACTTGGAGATGAGGAGACACAGCTGGTGGCACTGACTCACATCGGACACATTCACAGAGCCGGGAATAAACTCAGCTCTGCCATTCAAAATTACAACAAGTCGCTGGCTGTAGCTCAAAAGACAGGGGATCAGGGAGGAGAGGCTAAAGCTTACTCCAGTCTTGGGCTCTGTCACACGAGTCTGGGGAATATCAGGGAAGCTGTCAAGTATTACGAAATGGAGTTGAAGATATTGGAGGAGAGAGATGACAAACACAGTCAAGTAGCTACCCACGGTCAGCTAGGACTAGCTTACCTTTCACTGGAGAGTCAGGATCAAGCGTTGTCACACTTATCCCTGAGCCTCAAGTTAGCGAAGGAGCTAGCAGACAGACGCCTGGAGTGCCAGTCCTCATACAACCTTGGTCACTACTTCACAGTCATCAAGGACTTTACTCAAGGTTTGTCCTATCTTGATGGGTCCTTGAAACTCTCTCAGGAACTGAAGTACAGCGGAATAGAGAGTAAGTCCTGTCACGATCTGGGACTTTGTCACGAAGGCCTCGGTCACCATAAACAAGCGATACAGTACTTCCAACATGATTTCATGGCCGCTAAGGAGACTCAGGATAAAGACGGGATGACAAAAGCTTGTGAGAAACTGGCCACTGCCTACTCTGAGATTGGAGATAAGGAGCAGTCTGAAGTTTATCAGAAGAAACTGTCGGCCATTGCAGAGGATATTCAAAGTGTTGCTGGTAAATGTTCATTCTGGAATCAAATGGCAGACGAGAGCCTAGCTATGGGTGATTATGATAAAGCCATTGAGTATTACAGTAATTTATTGAAAGAAGCAAAGAAAGAACAGCATCAGTCGTTTGAAGGTGTGGCTTATCGTGGACTGGGTAACGCCCACTTGAGTACCGGGAACTATGACCACGCCCTCAGCTACTTCAGACACGACCTTTCATTGCGTAAATCTTCCGGTGACCTTTTAGGTGAGTGTGACGCTTACTTTAACATGGGGACCACTCATAATTCGCTGAATCAGCACTCGCTTGCTTTGGAGAGTTTCGAACATCAGTTAACATTAGCAAGACAGCTGGACAATGGTCCGCTCATTACCAAGGCTTATGGCTGTCTGGGTATCGTCCATCGTAATACCAAGAACTTTACAAACGCTCTTCATTATCATCAGCTCCAACTGACAACAGCTCTCACTCTACAGGATAACCTCTTGGAACAAGCAGGAGCTTACGCTAACTTAGGAGACTCATTCGAAGCAGTTCATAATTATATTGAGGCTACTAGGAACCACGAGAAGCACCTCTCACTGGCCAAGAAACTGCAAAGCGAGTTACTCCAGATAAGAGCTCTGGGTAGCTTAGGGCGGGCCTACAGGGGGCTGGGGTCCTTGAGAAAGTCCTTGTCGTATTTCCAGCAAAGACTCCAGATCAGTAAAGACATCAATGATGAGTACATTGAAGCCGAGAGCTATGCCGATATAGGGAACATACACATGTTACTGAAGGACTATCAGCAGGCCCTAGACTCTTACTCTAAGCAGCTCCGTATCTCAAAAACACTCGAAGACATTTTCAGTGAAGCACTCGCCTCATGTGGACTGGGAGAGGTTCACTTTCGTCTCGGTAACTATGGCGATGCTATTGATCATCACATGTACGACCTCCAGCTGTGTATTGATAACAATATACTGGATGGGGAAGCTCGGGCCCTGGGGAACATTGCTGATACTTACGAGGGAATGAGGGAATATCAGAAAGCTGTTCATTATCGTGAGAAGCAGTTGAGTGTTGCCGACACTCTAAGAGACCCTTATATCAGGGCCGTGGCCTTTATGGGGCTCGGTAAGACTTACTTAAGAATAGGTGACTTCAATCAGTCAGTGTCACTATTAAAGCAAGCCCTAGGCCTCACTGTGAAACCTAATGGATACACTTACGATGAGACGGAAACAGACAAGGAGGTTGAAGCCAAGATCAGGTTTTATCTGGGACAAGCCTTTTACCACATTGACCACAACTCTGACGCCATGGCCTGCCTTCAAAAAGCCTTACCTTTATTTGAACATTTAAGAGGTCACGTGAGACACTATGACCACTCCATCAAGCAGACACTGGAGCTACTACCAATCCTCTACCAGACGCTGATTTGTGTGTTAGTTCGACTCAATAAAGTGGAGGAGGCACTGGAGATGGCAGAGAGAGAGAGGAACAGAGCCCTGGTGGATGCACTCATTGATAGAGATATCAGTACTCCTTCAATGAGCAGCTGTGGTCTACTCAAACCATTCTCTCCAAACTCCAGCTGGATACAAGATGCCATTAGCACCATCAGGTGCCCTGTTCTTTATTACGCTGTTGCTCTTAATCACGTGTTCCTTTGGTTACTCCTCCCTAAATCTGGTATCGTACAGTTCAAACACGTCAATATAACAGAACTGAGTTCCAATGGCACTGGTAACCTTGACAACGTGTCCATGTTCTCAGAAAACAGTCTCACGTATGTACAACCCCTTGTTGAGACCATCGGTTCCCTCCGTGAGTTGCTGGGGGTGGAGCCTCGTCGACAGAGTTCCAAAAGTGCCAATTCATCAGTGATATCTGATGATTCTTTGGACGATAACGAGTCATTAATTAGTGGGGGCGGGGAACATGTGCCAACATTTTCAATAATCAGCAGCAGCACTCCATCAACGATGTCTTCAGGATCAGTTTCATCTTCACCTTCTAAGATCATCAACATGCAACCCATTAATGATCTTTATGATCTACTGATCCATCCAGTTGAGTGTGCCCTGCCCCGCCCACCCCCAGGCAGTGCTTACAGAGGTCAAGTCATCATCGTCCCTGACAAGGACCTTTATCTTGTTCCCTTTTCCCTTCTCAAACCAGAGGGTAAGGGAGAGTTCCTGTTCCAACAGTTCCATATCCGTTACGCTCCCTCCCTCCAGTCTCTTGTGATAGAGAGGAAGATGAAGATCCCTCTTAAAAAGAAGAGTGGGTCCACGAAACCAAACACAAGGTCCAGTCCCTCCAGAGGAGGTGTGGCCACAGACTCTCATTTACAAGTACCGAATTCATCATCAAAGATTCCTCTAGTTCGTTCTCATTCTCCTGCAGCTGACCCTCTCTCCCAGGATCCCCTACTGCCCCATAAACCGATACACCTTGTCGTGGGTAATCCCTCTATTCCAATTAATGCCTCTCAGTCGTCATGGCAACCGATGGTAGGAGCAGAAAAGGAGACAAAGCGAATAGCGGATTTACTTGAAGCCACGCCCCTAACAGGGACTCAGGCATCGAAACCAGATGTGTTGGATAAACTGAGTGACGCCCACAGCATATACTTTGCTACTAACGTCTCCTGGACTCAATCTCACTTTGTGTTAGCCGCTAAAGAAGAGTCTTTAAGTGACCAATCAGAATCATCGAATCATTCTCTACCCAGACGGGTCAGTGGAGAAGGCGGGGCTCTGTTAAAAAGGGGCGTGGCTGACGGCAGCTCAATCAGTTCCCTACCAGAACCCCATCAGTACCTATTGTCCCTCAGTGACATCATGGACAATAAGATAAAGTCAAAGATATTCGTAATCAGTGGAGCCCATAGACCAGAGTCCAATCGGATAACAGCTGAGAGTATAATGGTAATGGTAGAGGGTCTACTGGCTAGTGGAGCGGACACTGTACTGGTACCACTATGGCCGTCCAGTCACCATGGATCAAGACTAATGATGAACGGATTCTACAGCAGCTTATTGTACGGGAGTAGGACCAGCAGAGCTCTGGCTTATGCCATGCAGGTGAATACATTAACAGTACTTAATACATGTATATGTATATTACAGTGTATTAAGTACTGTTAATGTTAGTAGTACTTAATACACTGTAATATAACAACAGTACTTAATGTAGATACACTGTACATTACTTACATACTGTACATAAACCAATATTTGGTTGTAGGTTGCTGTTCACAGTCAGAAACACTCCCATCCATCAAACTGGGCCGGGTACATGCTGTTTGGTAAAGACATCATCCTAAAGGACAGAGCCACTGACCTCTCAAGGAGCATCAGGTCAATGCTACAGAGCCCAACAGACTACCTGATAGCTGGACTGAAGACACTCCAGGCTATGGTAAACTGATCTTTCATAATTATGTTAAGTTATATATTCATTTGTTCTCTCTATATAACAGATTGTGACGTCACTAAAGCACTTGTCTCAAGGTATCACTCAGTCAGAACCGAAAGTGGCCAATAGAACTACGATAGAGTCAAAGTTAGGGTCTGTGAGTGGGTGGGAGGAACTACTGGGTTGTAATGGATTCTGTTTCATAAATCCTGTGAAGAAAGACATGCCAGCCACCATTGTGTTCCCTGAGCATGATGACTCAGGACTTCAGAAGAAAACTCATAAAGCAATTGAAGCTCTTTTAGGTACAGCTGGAATAAATAATAATAACTATCACTAATATCCCCAGCTGTATGGTACTATCTAGTGATGAACTGTCTCTGTTCTTCTTGTAGGTATTCCAATTCCTTGTCTTGTGTCTCTTAGTAAACTATGTAAATATCCACTGGTAGCTAGGCCATTATTTACAGCTGTAAGTTTAAAATATTTATTTATTTATTGCATTTATTAATTTGTTGTTAAGATAAAGTGCAGTATGGCAGGATTAGCAGCTTCCCCGAGACCCGACACTGCTATTGAGATACAGCTGGAGAGAGACGTTTGGGACAAAGAAATGTGTCCGGAGTTTTTCACAAACCTTCATTTTAATCTCATGCCCACTCCTTCCTCCTCCTCCTCTTCCTGTGTAGTCCTGTCTGCTCCGGCTAAGAAACTTGAATCTAAGCTACTTCAGTTTGCATCAAATGCCATCATAGCTGTCTTTGGTGAGGAGAGAGAGGGGAAAGAGGAAGAGAGAGGGAGGGAGAGAGAGACAGAGAGACAGAGAGAGAGGGGGGGAGGGAGACAGAGAGTAATAATACTTTATTATTTGTTTCTACTTCAGGTCCAGAGGAACATATGGAAGTTCCTCCTCAGAAACTTGCTGTATATGAATCAGAACTATTGTAATTTTAATAGTTATTGTTTTAATGCACTTATTATTTCATAAAGTGTGACATTAATAATAATAATTAATAATATTTCATTAATAATCATTACCGTTTTTGCTGTATTCATGTATTTATTTTGTGTTCAAAGCAACAAGTAATTAACTAATTAATATTAATTTCATTATTAATTGAGTGGGCGTGGTTACGAATAATCACGTGAATCGAACCACTCCCACAGCAAAATGGCGGAAGGTGGTGGTGATGAACCTGCTTGTCAGCCACTGCCTGAGGCTGGAGGATACGATTATCCATACGTTGAGGAGCCTCCAGAGAACCTAAATTGTCCAATCTGTTTCCTGCCTTGTCGAGAGCCACATATAATTGAGTGCTGTGGAGCTAAATTTTGTCAGTCATGTATTGAAAGAGAGCACTTTGCTGGGAAGCCCTGTCCTTTATGCAGGGTAAAGAAGTTCAAAATGTTAATAGACCAAGATCATAAGAGGAAGATATTGTCACTCAAAGTTTATTGCACTCAAAGAGAGGGAGGCTGTCAATGGATTGGAGAGCTACGTCATATTGAAAATCATCTTGACAAGGATTGTCAATATGTCCTTGAAGCCTGTTGCTGGGATTGTGGGCGGAAATATGCACGTAAAGATGTAGGGTTTCACGAACAGGATGAGTGTGTTAATCGACCGAGGGAACTTGTTCTGTTGAAAAAAGTTGAAGCGCTTGAAAAACAATGTGAAGCACAGAGAAAATCGCTAGAAGAAAAAGATCGAATTATTAAAGAATTGAAAGAGAAGATGGATGAGGACAGGAAGGAAATGGAAACAAAGATGGCCAATGTTTCACAACAATTGGAGACGAAAATGGACAAGATCACGAAAGAATTGGAAGCAAAAATGGCTGATGGTACAAGAGAATTGAAGACAGCAATGGCAGATACAGCAAAAGAATGGGAAGCAAAAACAGCCAACATTACAAAAGAATTAGGGGAGAAAGTGGAGACAAAGATGGCCAACAATGCAGAAGGATTGGAAGCAAAACTGGCCAATAATATGAAAGAATTAGAGAAGAAATTTGCTGCAAATGCAGAAAAAATTGAAGAAAATGATAACAAAGCTATACAGAACAATCGAGAAATGGAAGAAAAGTTTAGAACTGAAATTGCAGCTGTTAAAGAAGAAGGAAAGGGTCTACAGAAAGTGGTTGAAGAAGTGGAAAAGAAATTAATCAAAGCTAATGAGGAGACCAATAGAGAAACAACTCGTCAGCTTAATGTAAGGATAGAGGAACTGAAGCAAGAAGTTGAGAAGAAGCTTAAAGCTGAACTGAAGCAGTTGGAGAATAATAAGATAAAACCACTGGAAGAAAAGATGACAAAAATGGATAAGGAAGTTACTGCAGCTGTGAAAACAGCTGGAGATTCAAATGTACAAGTTCAAACAGTACAAGACAGAATGAAGAGGAATGATAAAACCCAAAAAGAAACCAGTGATAGAATTAGTATTATTGACAGACAATTTGGTAAGTTAAATTTACTCCAATTTTTACCAAATTTTGCAAAAGTCAAAAAGGATGGTCATTTTAAGAAAACATCAAAAATCTGAAAAATACCCAAGGCTATATAGTCCATGGTTTTTTTCAAAAAATGGCTCTGAAATCACCCCAACTTTTTATTACATTTTCTGATACATATTGATGTCCTTATGCTGTGTAGAAAGTTTGAGGTGATTCTGACTACAATTTTTCAAGTTATGGCCATTTTTAAAAAATGTCAAAAATCTGAAAAATACCCAAGGCTATAGTCCATGGTTTTTTCCAAAAAATGGCTCTGAAATCACCCCAAATTTTTATTACATTTTTCAATACATATTGATGCCCTTATGCTGTATAGCAAGTTTGAGGTGATTTCGACTTCAATTTTTCAAGTTACGGCCATTTTAATAAATACCAAAATTTTGAAAAATAACCCAAGGCTTTAGTATTAGGCTATAGGCTATATTAAATGCATGTACATATATTTATGTTGTTGTTATTATTATTGTTATTATTTATAGAGGCCATGCGTAAGATGTCTTCAGGTTTCAAGATACCTGAGTGGCAGCGTCCCCTCCCCCTCACCTCATTCTCCAATATCCCCCCGTGTCAGTTCACGATGATGAACTTCACTTACCACAAGAAGCAAGGGAAGGCTTGGTACAGTCCTCCATTCTACAGCGAGCCTGGTGGTTACAAGTTCTGTCTGCGTATTGATCCAAACGGTATGCTAGAAGGAAAGGAGTCCCATCTCTCGGTTTGGGTTTACGTCATGAGGGGAAGGTTTGATGAGTCTTTAAAATGGCCGTTTACCGGAAAAGTTACCGTTCAGCTCTTAAATTGGAAGGCGGATAAAGGTCATATTCAGAATATCGTATCGTTTGATGATGCAGCTGGTGATAAGGTCCGAGCTCGTGTTACCAGTGGAAAGTATGCTGCCACTGGGCGTGGCTCTAGCAAGTTCGTTCCTCACTCAATGCTTCGTCTCAACGTTGGTAAAAATACGGAATTCATTGTCGATGATTGTATGTGCTTTAAGATATCCAAAGTTGATGTTAAAGATATTTCTGGAGGCTACAGTCACACTGCTTCTTTAAGTAGCTCTGACAGTTTTAGTACCAGTACAATAGTGTCTTGATTACCTCATGATCATTATTGTTATTATTTTTGTTAGTAACGTTTTTTCTTTTTTTACATTTATGATTATTGTTAAAAAATTGCTAGTTAATTTAATAATTATTATTATTTTCTGATAATAGAAATTTGCTTGGTTCAAAGAGCACTATTAACACCTACTTTTCTATAATTATAGATGTAGTTGCAAAGATTAAATGGTGCTAGTTTGCAACTAATTTTTTACGTGTCACCTATAAGAGTGTAGTTTTTAAAATTATGTACAATCATTGTTAACATGTAGGAGGATGTCAATTGTCTGTTACTGTTCTATCACATGATTAAATTTAGAGTTTAGATGTAGTGAGTAGAGTTAGGGAATTGTGGAGGAGGAGGATTACTGTATTACTATCTAATTAAGGAACAGAATAGGGAAATTTGAGCAGCCCTGCTTACAGTCATTTAGCCTGTTTGAGAAGATGGCTAAATCCACAAAAGAGTTTGCAGTTTTAAAAAGAAGTGCTAGCAAAATTCAACGAGCAATCACTGATGCAAAGCTTTTGTCAACGGATTTGTTTTCAGAGGGTCTCATTTCTCTTCCAATCATTGAAAAGGTCAATGATGCTGTCAACAAAACTGATGCTAGAATGGAGCTAGTTACTAATCTACTTCATGTGGCATCCATTGATCCTAAAATCTTCCACAAGCTCCTTCAAGTACTGGAGAATCATTCTCAACTGCTGGCTGCTGTTGCTACAGAAATAAAAGAAGACTATGGCAAGGACTATGGTAAGTATAAGCTTAGCTGCCTAACGTGAGTATGTATGTTTTAACTTAAAGATAGAGAGATGGAGAGTGGAAATGAAGTTGGGGCTGAAGTAGTCATAAGGAAAGAAACACCTAGTGCAGTTGAAGTAGCAATAGAGAAATGTTTTTTGAAGCAAGCTGAATTTTATGATAGATGTAAAGAAAACCATACTAAGATATTTGAGAACACGGCAATAACTAAAGAGAAAATTCAAAAGAAAGCAGAAGACCTTGAAGCAGCTGCTAAACAAATGTCACAAGACTTTCAGAAGCAAGTGTCTGAGAAAGGTATACTAGTTTTGGTCTATTTTAATATTGCTCTATGTATTGCTAAATCATTAATAGACCCTATTTTCAATTTTCATTTTATATAAAGGACATATCTCATTGTTTTATGCAGGTAATGTTAATCCTGATGATTTTGCTAAACAATTAAAAGAATTATCTGAGAAAACATCACTTGAAATACAAAGCATAGTAATTATACATTTTACAAACAATCATAATGTATCATCATGCTATATTGTTTGTGTAGATGATGGACAATGCTAAAAAATGTCTAGCATTGAGCGCTATGGGAGAACCTGAGAAGGACGAAAGTACTTCAATAAAAGAAGAGTCAGGTAAAATGTAAATGTAAAATAAACATTACTACAATATTATTGATAATATTGACAATATTATAGATATTGATGTACATAAGGTCACTGACGAAGTACAACAAACACAGGCTGATCAACTGCTTGGTAAGACTAAGAGAATTATTATTATTATTATTATTATTGTACACTCATGCTGCAGATATTACAGATCTTGCTACAGTCTTTCAAGAATTAACATCAAGTCAACAATTCAATTGCACTGATTGGTATCAGTTGGGTCTGTACTTAGGATTGTATGAGCGTACACTAAAAGCAATTGAAGAAGAAAACAAAGGGAATTTAAAGAAGTGTCTGATGGAGTGCCTATCTTCCTGGCTAAAGGGAGAGGATGGAGTAAGAGAAACAAGAGGAGGTGGATCAAACTGGATATCATTAGTAGCAGCACTGGATACAATGGGGCAGAGGAAGGTTGCTGATGACATTAGAAAGAAGTACTTGCTATAATAAAAAGTATTTGTAACTATTAGAACCTTGCTTGTTTTTGTGAATTTTTATTTGCTTCTTATTTTTTGTAGCTACAGTAGCTTAAAGGTTTTGCACTACTTAATACATTTTTTTATAATCAAGACTTTGCTTGCTTTAAAAGATAATATTAATAATAACAATATAATAATCATTCACAACAAGAGATAAGACAGGGAAAGAGGGAGAGGGGGGGGGGAGAGTGCAGCATTCATTCATTCATGATTTTGAAGGACTGGGGAAATCAACTGAACTCATTACGCCATCGTCATACATTAACCTTTCAAAAAACGACCTAAAATAAAACAATAAAATCATTAATCATTATTATTGTTATATCCAGAAATAATTATGAAAATTTCCCTGTCTCACCGTCCCTCCTGTTTCTCTGGTTTAGTTGACATGTTGTTTCTGTCAGTGACAATATTATCATCAATCATTCTTAATCTTTTCAGTTTTTCTAATGTTTCATTTAACGGAGGAACCTCCTTTTTCCCCTCCTCCTCGTCGTGAAGCTTTAATAAAGACGGGGGTACAGTGGGCAGGGCTAATGATGAATGTATGGGCGGAGTCACTCGAGAGGGTAACTGTAATAAAATTAATAAAATAAATAAATAAATAAATAAATAAATAAATAAATAAATAAAATTAAAATGAACTTACACTTGTTTTCTTTTTCTGTTTTGTTGGCAAATATTTGTCGACGTCAGCACTTTTGATGAATTCCAAAGCTGCTCTCACAGTAACTAGTACAAAACTAACACAAAACCACACCCATAAAAGGGGTGGGGCAATAATGATGACCACACCTATTATTCTTACCTCAACTTCTCTCCTTCGCTGAATGGCCAATGAAAGTTTTCAATATAATAAACATCACTTGGAAAGAAATCTATAATAAATAAATAAATAAATAAATAAAATAAATAAATAAATGAATAAATAAATATTATTACTTACTCAAATTTGCTTGTACTATAATAGTTGCCTGCAATTAATTAATAGTTATTAATAGTTATAAATAGTTATTAATACTGACCAGTAGTGATATTAGATCATCCGATGGCAATGGAACTGGCTCTAATTAGAATAACTATTATTAATTATTAATTAATCATTAATTACCTCCAATTCTAAGTGACGATTTGAAATGATTCTTAACATCAGTTTGTATATTATCCTAAAATGAATTTAAAAATAAATAATTAACCCTCCCTCCCCCTCTCTCACTATGGTCTCCTGTAGACAATATAACTTTCCAATTGGTGTGTTTTGCTGACTCATCGTATTCAACTTCTCGATAGTTTCCTTATAAGGACAGGAATAGTCCACAGGCAGTCCCAGTGCAGCTGGTGTTAAAGTGGACGAAAGTTCTTTACATCTTTCATAAAACATTTGGTTTTCTTTTCGATGCCTTGAGATGATTTTTGAATACACTTTACCATGCAGCTGCGTGACAATGTAACTGAGAGAGGGAGAGAGAGAGAGAGAGAGAGAGAGAGAGAGAGAGAAGGTTGAAGGTCAATTTTTTAAACTTAACTTTACCTTTCTAAAGCTATCCAGATCATTTCTTGAATACGTCTATCATGAACCTTCTTGTCTGACTGATGCTCACGAATATAACTCTAATAAATAATAATAATAATAATAATAATAATAATAATAATAATAATAATAATAATAATAATAATAATAATAATAATAATAATAATAATAATAATAATAATAATAATAATAATAATAATAATATTTTTTAATTATAATAATTATAATAAATTATAATTATTAGTCTTACAGTGTATGCTTGTTTAATGAGGTTCTCAATCCTGCTAGAAGCGTCAGTTAGAAAACCTTCAAGGACCATGTAATTCTCTCGGAACATGTCAATGCGTTTGTCGACTTCACGTTTTATCTACAAAATAAAATTAAAATAATTAAACATCGGAGCCAACTCAATAAGAAAATGTAACTTTAAAAATTTGTAAAAAATCTAATTTTAATCGGAATCAGTTCAAACTTGCTACACAACATAAGTACATGTATATGCATTAGAAAATGTAATAAAAATGCAGAATTTTCTACTTTTCATTTTTGGCAAAATTTGGCCCGAGACCATGTACTACAGGGACTTTTGTCCGATTTTGAAGCAACTTAAAAAATTCGTAAAAAATCCAATTTGGATCGGAATCAGTTCAAACTTGCTACACAACATAAGTACATGTATATGCATCAGAAAATGTAATAAAAATGTAGAATTTTCTACTCTTGATTTTTGACAAAATTTGGCCTGAGGCCATGTACTATAGTACAGGGACTTTTGTCCAATTTTGGAGCAACTTAAAAAATTCACAAAAAATCCAATTTTGATCGGAATCAGTTCAAACTTTCTACACAACATAAGTACATGTATATGTATCAGGAAATGTACTCAATTACTTCAGTGTGTTTCTGGAAGTTAGCCAATAGCTCAAGTTGCTCTTTTAAAGTTCTTTTAGGTACCAACAGCTCATCGTTAGTAACAGTTTTCCGTCTCTTTTGAGATCCCTCCACAAGTGGGCGGTCAATCATTAACATTCGATAGTGCTGAAAGGATCTGTTGTACGCCAGTTCCTCTGAGAGTACCCGTACACAGTAAGAATCGTCTATAGTCTTCAACTCTTTGGACTCAAGCCTCCAAACCTTTCTCTTCCCACTTGTCAGGAGCGACGAATACTCACTAATATAATATAACAATAATTATTAGTATTATTAAGGACTTCCTCACTCTCTGTATAGCTTAGATGGCTCCAAAAGATGAGCAGCTACAAAGTTGTAGCTGATATCAGGAGGAGGAGGGAGAGATGCTGAAATTGGGACACAGACTAGCCAGCAGTCAGACTGTGCCCGCTCGTATAAAGCCAGATACTGAGTCTACATATAAATACCAATAGTTATAGCCAATGTAAGGACGAGTACTCACTTGTAGAGCTCTGTAGAACTCATTATACTCCAAATCATCGGCCGAGTTGTTGGCGGCCATTTTGAATGCTGCAGAGTTAGTCTCCTCCCATTTTATTGATGTTAATTAACTTCCAAGCTCAAAGTGCGTGGGTGTTACAGAGAATTGTAATTGCTGGCAAAATTTTTATTGATGTAATAATAATAATTATTATTGTTATAACACAATAATAATAGTAACAATAATAATAAACAAAAACAAAAAATAACTATAAATAAACAAACCTCAAAACAAATACAAAACTAATCAGTAGCTACAATTCTTAGTATAAACACAATTTGTGATTAAATAAACCTATGAATAAAATATTGCAAAACTGCTACATGAAACTCTGCCTTTGACACCGGGTAACTTGCATTTCTGTCATGTCTATAATAAGATTCTTCACAAATCCTTTCGTAAAAGTTAAAAAAATCACCCTCCTTAATTTTATCCAGGACATCTTTTTTAGTGACACGACTCAAGACTAAATGCTTTAACTGCTTCTTGCTATTGATAACTAAAGCACTACCAAATGCTAAAGTCAATTCTGTATGCTTGCAACGAAGCCAGAAATGAGTGAGATTAGCATATAGTGCTGGATCTTCTGGTAGTTTGATACCTTTGGTTGCTAAACAATTAATAACAAGAATTGAAAGTTTCTGGCACTTCTGAAGAATGCTTTCAAGCCCTTCAATAGATATCAACTTATATGCAGCAAGATTTTTACGTACCAACTTGAATGTAGCATCTGTAGTATATAAAATAGTGATTCTCAGATAGAAAAGAGACTCCAGATTTGAAATAATCGAAAGCAAATGTTCACAAATAAAAAAATCTAACTCTTCAGTAACGTTGCAAAAGTTAACAACATGAAGACTTTTGAGTTTGGTCATTCTCTTAATATGATTGATAACACTTTTCTTTACTGCCAATTCTCTATCAGTTAGAACTCTTGATGGACGTTTACCAGCCTGAGAGGTGGAGGTAAGTGGTGAGAGATACCAACAGTTGACAAACAAATATTTCAAACGCTTCATTCTTGACAAAAGATTCCAAAAGTGCTCCACATCAAACTTGATACTATCCCTGGACCCAGGAGAGAAATGAGACACATCTAATCCTCTTAGTTTGAGGCAGTGTACAGATAATGGAACCATGTAAGCGTCAAGACTATCTGATATAATACTCTCCTTCAAACTGACCTCCAATACATTAGGTGTCTCCTTGACAATCGTACGAAAGGACTCAAGTGATACGATTACAGAAAAAAAATTAAGTATGGTAATGTTAACTCCATATTGACTGGTATAAACTGACAGACCAGGAATGACAGCTTCATCTTTAAAAACAGCATATCGTTGACTAACATCATTCATTGGTGTGATCACATCTTTCATTGTAACTATTAGCTCTCCATTAGCAGTCACAGCAACAGATTCAGAACTATTGGGGCCTATTTCGAGTGAGTACTCGGGTACGTCATAAAAAACAAAGGCCAAAGGTCGGCTAAGCCTCGTATAAGTTGCAAAATAAGCTGAATGAGTTATAGAAGGAAGAGGCTGTCTCCTATACCAATATTCTTTTGTTTCTTTTTTACCATCAAGTGAGATGATGATAAATGTTTGTGGTAAGCAATTGTTTAACAACCATCTCTCAAAAAGTACGGGGCCATCATGCAGGCGAATCGTAAACCATGACAACTTTCCTTAAGTTAGAAAAAATAACAAAATATTCCACAATAATATCTAGCCCACAGCGAATAATAGAGAGGGTTAAGGACTGCAAATGAGGTGAATCTGACAAAATTGTCTTCAGAGCATCGAGAGAAATCTCAAACCCATATATAAAGATTCAAAGTGTGAATGCCCTGGCACGATACAATCATTTTTTGATATCCACTGAATGGTGCCTGTCCCGTTAAACTGAGTGACTGTACATGTGGTTGACATGTTTGAAGGGCCGATTTGAAGAATGGAGCATTTGTCTCATGTGCATCATCAATGAAAACGTTTCTCCACAGATAAGGATCAGAACAAATGCTGTAAAGTCTTCGATTGACTAATTGAAAGGACATCTTATCTCTGATTGACAGCATCATGCATATCTCTTGTATTACCTCATTTGAGAGGGAATCAAACGGGTTTGTATATTTCTCTTGTCCTCCATGACCAGCTAATAAAGGAAGCTGATTCACCACTGATGGATTGATGATAAGAGTTTCTGAGTCGTTGGAATCAACATCAGGATAATCCCTTAATTTCCTTCTTTTAGAGCAAGGTAGATCACTATCTCTGCTACCATCCATTCTCCTCGTTTGCAGTTCTCAGAGTTTTCTGTTTATAAGCAATAAAGCATGCAAGATCGATCCACGTGCTGACTGACGTAGTCTATAATATCTATGGTTTGTGCATGCGCAGTAGTTCTACGGAGAAAACGCATAAAAAAGAGAGTCCTCCTTCCGTTACACTACAAGTATACGGTAGTGCTGGGCGATATTGAAAATTTTGAAACGATACGATATGATATAGTCGGTTTCAGTTGAGTTTGACCGGATGTTTTCATCATCAAAACGTCACGTGTAGCCCCACCCACACGCAAATAAAATGGCTGAAAATTTCATCATACTCCTTTCTTCTTGTTGTAATTTGTTTATTACCCTATTTTGGTCACTGCTAGCCCTGCAATTGACATGAAGGACCTTTGTGCTTGCTATTACCTGAAGAAAGAATCGAGAGATGCAAAATTTCAA